TCCACGCTGTTAACATTTATTTCAACCAGGAGGCCAGCAACAGGCAACATCTTCTCTAACGAAGCTCCTGCACATCTACCTCCTTCAACACGCTACTCACCGAACGTCTTCTACTGAGCAGCTCCCCACCACACGGCACCTCCAGCACCAGACTGTCTTCATATAACTTATATACAAGAAAACCACATTCGAGTTTCCTTCTATCCTGAGTGCTAGACAACATTAATATCTCGATACCCCTACACACTCCTCCATACAAATGTTTGCCGATGATGCCAAGTTATTTCGGGAAATCAAGAACCAAGCGGGCTATGAAGAGCTGCAGATGGACCTCTGTAGGCTCCAAGAATGGTCGAAGAAATAGCTGCTGAGATTCAATGCCACGAAGTGTAAGAGGATGCACCTGGGGCGTACCAACGGTAAGGAGGCGTACCATATGTCCCAACGGGATGAAGAAACTGCACTATTTGCGACTGAATGTGAGAAGGACCTAGGTGTGTATGTTGACAATGAGCTGAAGTTCTCGGGCCATTGCGAGAAGGTAAATCAGGCAAATAAATTAATCTTCTTTTTTTTCTTTTATCCTCTTCGCCACTGATCGGCTTGTTAGCCGCTTGGGCGATCGGTCACGTCTCTTTTCCTTTATATTCTTCACCAAAAGGTCGGCTCGCTAGCCGCCCGGGCGATCGGTCACGTCTCTGTCACGCACTGTTGGCAAATACTGGGCATGCACCGGCTCCTGAATGTACCTGAACCCGCCTCCAGTGTTGGTCAAGTCTTCTTGAAAGAGCTCAAGACTCGGTGCCGTCACAACACTCTCTGTAGATTGTCTCAAGAGCTTACAACCCTCACCTGAAAAGTTTGCCCTCACTTCTGCTTCTGACTTGGCGGCTTTTCCAATCTTGTCAGACCCTTGTGGGGCGAGCGTCCGCTCCAAGGACACTCAACTGAGTAGTGCCCCCTGAGATGCTTATAAACCTCAACTAGGTCCCCCCTTGCCTGTCTGTAGTATAAGCTAGGCAAGTTCAGGCGCTCCAATCTCTCAGGGTAGCTGAGATGCTGAAGTGCAGGCACCAGTTTGGTGGCCCTCCTTTGAACATTTTCAACCAACTGACAGTCCCTAGCATATCTCGGGGACCAGATGGGGTGACAGTACTCCAGATGGGGAAGCACTTCACTCCTGAAGATCGTCACGAGGGATGGACCGTCTAGATATCTGAACGACCTTCTTATAAGACCCAATAATTTATTTGCCTGATTTACCTTCTTCTCACAATGGCCCGAGAACTTCAGCTCATTGTCAACATACACACCTAGGTCCTTCTCACACACAGTCTCAACTAGTACATTTTCTTCATCCTGTTGGGACATATGGTACGCCTCCTTACCGTTGGTACGCCCCAGGTGCATCCTCTTACACTTCGTGACATTGAATCTCAGCAGCCATTCCTTCGACCATTCCTGGAGCCCACAGAGGTCCTTCTGCAGCTCTTCACAGTCCGCTTGGTTCTTAATTTCCCGAAATAACTTGGCGTCATCGGCAAACATTTGTATGGAGGAGTGTACAACGTCAGGCATATCATTTATGAAACAAACAAACAACAGCGGGCCCAATCCACTACCCTGCGGTACCCCACTTGTTACAGGTACAGATGACGATTTCGTGCCATTAATCACCACACATTGCTTGCGGTCATGTAGAAAGTCTTCTATCCACGCTAGGACATTTCCCCGAATTCCGTACCCTTCCAGTTTGATTTTCAGCCTTTCGTGGGGTACACTGTCGAAAGCCTTGGCAAAATCTAGGTAAATATAGTCGATATTACCACCCCGTTCTAGAATATGGGTCCAAATATCCAATACCTTGAGCAATTGTGTCAAGCAAGAGCGCCCCGGCATAAAACCGTGTTGGCAATCTTTTACAAGGTTGTTTCGTAGTAGATGTTCCATCGCTGCATCTCTGATAATACTCTCAAGTACTTTACATATTATGCTGGTCAGGCTCACCGGTCTATAGTTGTTCGTTGAGTGCCTATCGCCCTTCTTGAAGATAGGACTCACATAAGCCACTTTCCATTCACTGGGGACCATTTGTTCATCCAGGCATTTACAATCTTCAAGAATGAAGTGCTTCCCCATCTGCAGTACTGTCCCCGAGAAATGCTAGGCCCTAGGGACTGTCAGTTGGTTGAAAATGTTCAAAAGAGGGCCACCAGACTGGTGCCTACACTTCGGCTCCTCAGCTACCCTGAGAGATTGGAGTGCCTGAACTTGCCTAGCTTATACTACAGACGGGCAAGGGGTGACCTAATTGAGGTGTAAAAGCATCTCGAGGGGCACTACTCAGTCGAGTGTCCTTACTGGAGCTGGCGGACGCTCGCCCCACAAGGGGTCACAGCTCAAGATTGAAGAAGCCGCAAGTCCAGAAAACTGTGAGGGCAAACTTTTTCGGAGTGAGAGTTGTGAACTCTTGGAACAATCTGCCAGAGAGTGTTGTGACGGCACCGAGTGTGAGCTCTTTCAAGACAAGACTTGACCAACACTGGAACGGGTTCAGGTACATTCAGGAGCCGGTGCATGCCCAGTACTTGCCAACAGTGCGTGACAGAGACGTGACCGATAGCCCAAGCGGCGAACGAGCCGACCAGTGGTAAAAAGGATAAAAGTAAAAGTAATTATACAAATTATATTCACTGTGGGCTGGGGTAACAATTCTTCAGGTGGGATATCCTGGGGTGACAATTCCTCAGGTGGATATTCTGGGGTGACGATTCTTCAGGTGATCCCAATTAAGGATTTAAGCTTTGACGCCCAGGCTTAGGCACGAAACAGTGCCGTAGGAAAGGTGAGGTACTTCCCCGCCAGGTCTAAACTACTTGGCCCAAACTGTTACTTTTACCTTGTCCAAACTGTTCCTCACAACGGCTCTCTGTATAATACCTGCACACATCTCCCACATATTAATACAATATTACAAAACAATTTACCTCAACTCACAGCTGGGGACAGTGTGGCCAGCGGCTGTTTACACCAGCAATTGTTTTACCTTATATTTATTTTTAAACTCTATAAAAATGATAAAGTTACTCTTAATATTATTAAATGTCTTAAATTGTGTAAATTTTGTAACTATGTGTTGTTTGTCAATAAAGCTTTAATAATTTATATAAGGCCTCCCTCAGGGCAAGTTATCTCACATTACTCGAGAAAAGTTATAACTTTCAGCTGATTATTGACGATAATGAAGTTTTTGTAACTATATTACTCTAATTTGCTATGGAAGCCACACATCCTCAACATTGGTCAAACTGCCTCCCTAAAGCTGAGAATGCTGTGCCCTTTGTACAGATGCCGTAGCTGCCTCACTCCTGAGCAGGTGCTTCAATTTTATAAGGCATTCATTTGTCCTAACTTGGAGCACTGTTCACATATCTGGGGGTGGCTCTTCTTCTGCCCAACTGTTTGATAGGGTGGAATCAAAATCTTATTAACTCTCCTCATTTAGTTGATAATCTCTTTTCGTTTTCTCTTCGCCACACTGTTGCTTCACTCTACTGTTCTTCAACGGGCAATGTTCGGCGGGTTTGGTGTCCTGTGTACCGCCGGCAAGTAATGCATATAAATTATTATCGGAATAATAATTCCACAAATAAATAAATATATTTATAACATAACTAAAGCATTATTTTCCAGTAATATTACACTACAATACAACTACACCACTTTTAGCAATATTACTCTGATACAGCATGATAAAATGGACAACCAATGGAAATGAAACAAAAAAAAAGTAGGTGTGGGGTTCAATATATTTGGTTCACACTCAGGATGGAATGGAGAAAGGAAACTCACAATGTGCTCTCTATATACATGTTGTATTGGATGTACAATGCAGCTTGGTGCTGGGAAGGCAGCATGGTTACAAGCGTGATGTAGAGAGAGCTGGTTGGTGAGGGTGCTCAGAGAAGGACAGCTTGTGGGTCGCCATCCTCGCCAGCGGGAGAGAGGACCGCCAGGCAGGCGGAGGAGCGAGGGCTGCCAGGCAGCGGCGGAGGAGGAGGTGTTGCTGGCTGCGGCTGTAGGTAGAAAGCGAGGGAGATCACCACGAGGTCAGGTCTTAAACAGCGGGGGTAGGCGTGGCTTAGCAGTTGACCCCCGCTCCGTGGTGTATGGCGGCGCTGGTTGACCTAGACCACGAGGCATACACTGGGGAATTGGTGGGGTCGGCTAGGCAGCGACAAACAGCGTTTGTAGGGGAGAATTCCACTACATAGGTACAGGTAGTCTGCACTTAATGTTGTTTCGGCACTACATCGCTAAACTCTAGAGATAAAAAATTTGTTTAATGTTCCGGAACATCAACTGGGGCATAGGGGTTAATGATTACTGCTTTACTCACCATAAACTGACTGCTTCTATCTGAACCACAAGCCACATTAAACAGAATTTCTCGATCACTCCACTGGCCGCACAAATACATGGTCCGGCACTGGCCGTTGGTTGCCCATGCCTGCTGTACAAGTTAGGTTAGGTGAATGTCTTTGAATAATATCTACTGATGGGATCTATGTTCCTGGTAGACAACTAATTTAGTGTAAATTAACTGCAAATATTCTATATAGTATTTTATTTCCAACATCTGCTTTATGCAAAGACTCTATATAAGATTTTTAATTATTTTAGATATACGGTAGTTAATTTTGTATGTTGACAGAGTTGCCTCAATTTAGCCTGATGAATCGCACACTGTTTACTGTATATCACAATGTTTAGCAACTTTTGCTAAATTTGGACAATATTTATTAGTTAAAAGTTGAACTGTATTTGTTTTTATCATGAAGGGATCTGTTCTGGTCTGAGACTGACTCACTTGTTAATCTCTTGTACATTTCAGTGTTTTCTTTGGGATAAATGTTCAATAAATTTTCAATATACTGTACTGGACTTACATATAATGTCGAAGTAATAAAAAGTTATAATTAGGATATTAAAACTATGTATTTCTTAAAAAAAAATATATACAGGTAAATATTATACATTTAAAGTAAAATTGTACAAAACCTGCCAATAACAGATAATAAACACAATACAAAATCATATACTGAGTCTCTTGTATAACTTAACCACAGCTGTATATAAATTATCATACAAGATGGATGACAAACTGTTTAGGCCAAGTATTAGTGGTTACTGTCCAAGTTCTTTCCAACACTTGTCTTGTAATCCCCCCTCCCGGGACCTTTACTTGTCTCTGATCCATCCTACATCCACATGCAAGAGAAGAAAAGATAACATAAGTACAAGGCTAATTACCAGCAGTTATACAATAGAAGGAAAATGCCATAATATTACAATATCTGTGGTATTTACTACTGAACTACAAGAGTACTTTCCTTAGTATCAATCAGTCAATAAAAGAGCTGGCCTCCTGTCTGCGAGGTTGGCAACTCTTTGGAACCTCCACGTGTAAGTTTGCTCATCCATCTCGGTCTTCACCTGGCCCTCCTAACCTCCCTTTCACCCATTATCATCTCTATAACAATATCTCCTCTTCTCTAAGTATATACATATAACAAATGATATTTCTTGTATAATGTTCTTATGTCAAAATATTGAATCCTTAGTAAATTTTACTTGGTAAGAACTACTGGGAGTCTCAGAAGAATATATACACATGTCAACGGATTTTCATGGAGATTACATGAATGCTTTTGCAGGATTACAACAGCAGCATTGGCCTTACCTATGGCAGATCTCACACAAGCATTCATATGATCTCCATAAAAATATGACACCCTGTCTATACAGTATAGTCAATTTAAAATAAGTAACCCAAGACAAAATTCTTTTCCAATTTAATTTAAATTATTAAAGCAAATTCACATATAGAATCTTTTTATGTGGCAACAAATGAGTGACCAAATATATAACAGAAAAAGATTACCTGGTACTGAATAGTTTAAGATGAAACTGAGTGGTCTATACAGTGAAACCTAAACAGCTGTAATGTCTTCATCAGCTTACAAAGGATGGTAAACAGCTTCACCTATAAATGATATTTTTCATCTAGTTAAAGTAATGTTCTTCCCTGCACTTTTGGCTTGAGATAACAATGGCTTGTTTAGCTTGAATTTCTTTAAACTAGGAAGGGTCAAGTAGAGTGCAGTACCTGCACCTACAACATGAATGATGCTGCCAGGTTAATCAAATAATAGCAATTAGCCAGAAACCCTCAATTCTCCAATAGCCGGAATTGAAATTTGCTTGAAAATTTTCCTGAAAATTTCTCTCAATTCTGGGTTTGGGAAAGATTTTCCAAGGTTGAAAATCGGGTGAATTTTCTGGAAAATTCTGAGAACAATTCTGGATAATCTCTCCAAATTATTTTTTCTGGGTCTAGGAGCAAAGTCCGAGAAAATTTTCCCAGTACCCGCTCTGCACCAATTATTCCGGCCAACTTATCACTTATAAGTCATGTTCTACAATACACTTCAGCTTCTTCATATTATACAGGGTACTCTTTACTCTGGACTAAGCAGTACCCTGAATAATTGTTTTAAATATTCTCTTGCTCAAAAAAAAAAAAAAATGCATAAAATAAAATGCTGCAAGCTAGATCAGACATTTTATTAAAGAATAATTAATAATAATTTATATTTATATCTTACAATTAATCACTATCACTGCTGCTGCTGCTGCTGCTACTTTTGGTGTTCAGTTGATTACGCCTTCCCTGGAACACATAAGTAATTAGAATGTTTGTTATTTCAGATATAAGAGATGAACTTACAGCTAACAGTTCATGAGTTGTGAGAAACAAAAAGGACACAGATATATTTAGTTTTTTCATGTGGAAGGGAAATACTATAGCAGAACATATCTGTTACTGAAGTAAGATTGAATTAAGAGAGTGTCTGTGTTTATAGTTGTTTTGATACAATGTTCCCGTTCCACAACAAGGCCCTAAACATCTTACTGGTTTATCACACACCTGGCATCACCAAGCCTGCCTGGCCATGGGATTGAACCCATATCTCAAGGGTTGGTGTCCAGAGGGTTAAAAACTGAATCATAAACCCTTTTCTTAAATAAGTTTTCAAAAAGAAGTTATCAAGTATGAAAAACAGTATCAATATAAATTTACCTTTACAGGAATTATGTATGGAAATGATTTGTTGGACTCAAGGAGGCCAGCTTTAAGCTTGGTTAATGCTGTTGTGTTCATATCCTCCAGGGTTATGGTCTCAAGGGCTTTATTTAAAATATTCAAACCCTCTTCAAACTTCTGCAATTCACCTGAAAGAATTATTTCTATTAAATGACTACTCGTCCACATGAAACTTAAGCGAACATTACAAAACGTTAATATACGCCACAGTCTAATTGGCCCTTCACGTGAATTTACATTGTGGTCTACATGCGGCTAATCCTGTTTACATACAAGTTCACAAGATAATCGAAACCCCCTAATTAAGACTAAAGAAGTATAACATTCACATTCTAAACACAAAATATTATCAAAGATCCATCCACAAACTGTACAAGCCATGGTATAAAAAAAAGACTCCCCAAATGCTGAAAATACTACAAACATGACACACAACATGACTGTCCCTTACATGGAACAAAGTTTCACATGCCATGACTGCAACATTTAGGGGAACACCTGAAACTGGTGTACAGTATAACTAATAACTTATGCTCCAGGTTTTTCCAAGTGTCTTAAAAACTGAAAACAGTAAATGTGTTCTAGATTTTAATAAAAAGGCTTTTAGGTAGTTTACTGTACATACCTGTATATAAATTACAGTGACCCCTCGTTTAATGAACGCCTCGGTTAACGAAATTTCGGTTAATGAACTGCCTTCCATAAGGATCTTCAATTCGGTTAACGAATTTCTTACGAACCGACCTCAACATGTTTTCGCTTGCACTGACCGGGCAACCAGCTTTAGTATCAGTCCGCCAATACATTAATCGGTTCTAGGGCTTAAATTCCTTACTATTTTAGTAAATATCAAGAAGTTTATATTATTCAATAATTTTAAAAGCTTAATATTCAATTTTTTAGTCATTTTAACAATTATTGAACATAATTGAAGGTAAAGAAACTAGTTTCTGGCACGCCATCCAGCCTGTTAACACACCATACAGGCGTCAGTCTTTGTGTCTTTTCAGCGGAGGCAACATATTGCTTAAGACTCTCTTCAACTAAATGCTTTTTCTGTGTTTCCAAGCAAATTATTGGTCATTTTGAAATTTATTTTACATATTGACAATATATAATGCAGTGCAGTGTTGATTTAAAGAAAATAATCTTGAATTACACCAAGATAACTAAAGTTTTATGGGTGAAATGGCGCCATGGGGTGACTTCTCTTCCACCCCAATGCCTTCTCTTCTCCCTTCTCCTCCACCTCCCACTTCAAATGCACATCATCACCATCATTATCCAGGAGCCTTCTACATACACACCTCAAAGTAAGTGAACTTTTCTACCATTTTTGTTGAATTTAGGAAATTTTCGGTGAGCTGGAACCAATTACCCAAAAACCCATTGAAACAATGGTTTCGGTTAACGAACGACCTTCTGGAACAGATTGAGTTCGTTAACCGAGGGGTCACTGTAGTTATCTTTTCAATAAGTTTGGCCCCAGCTTCCATACACAGAACCAATCAGCCACCTAAGATGACAAGCTGAGATACAGTAAATACCATCTTTTATATTTTACTAAGAAAGAGAAACAGAGATGACTAAACTAACCAAGGACATCTATCCAGCAGCTGTAGACCAAACCCTTGGCCACGGGCGTCACCTCAGGTCGAGCCTCCAGGACCTCCATTACTCTCTCCGGCAGTTCGGTGTTGTTAGTTTTTCGTGCAGTATCTAGGATGCTTCTGAACATTAAAGGTGTGCTGCTCCCAGAGATATGTTTGTTGTATATCTGTTAAAAAGTTTTAACAATAAATACATAAAAAAAAGTGAAGATATGGAACTTTTTTAAAAACCTGTTAAAACATTGAGAAAGAAGAGCCATCCAAAGATAACATATCTACAGGTCTTCAGGTGGGGCAGATGGACAATCTTACCAGAGTAAATGATCTTAGCACAACCCTTTCACTCAGCCATACACACCACCTGAACCAAAAGAAGGTCCCAAACATCACTCATCAACAGCACCTCCTTCAAACATACATAATCCATCTTTAAAGTTTTGCTAGAGAGAATATTTTGTCCATTAAAAACAATGTAGAATGGCAGATGGGCACTGGAAGAGGTGAAAGTTGCCTATGTATGAATAAAGCTGCTACACTCACCTCTTGTGCTTCACTGTACCGGCCCTCAGAGAAGAGGTGCATCCACACACAGTTGGCCGGGTCAGTCATTCCCCGAGATGCATATTCCTCTGCCAAATTCGTGACTGTAAACATAGTTAAAGCTGTTATTGTTATCCATTGTGTGTTCACATACAGGAGTTATATTGATTATTTATATATGAAATAATATCTGGTGATTCAAGTACTTTTATGTGGGGCAGATCATGTACTTTTGTGTGGGGTGGATGAGTGAGTGAGTGAGTGTGTGTGTAAAGAAATACAGTACGTACAGTACACAGTGTGTTTAAGGACCTAAAAATGAGACATACTCTAGGTCCACAGACACACAATAAACAGACTCCCAAAAAACAGTATCAAGTCACCTTTGACCCTCAAACAGATTGTGACATATCCGACTCCTTTAAATGCACAGGTACAGTAGTATATCTCAAACAGTGTTTCCTTGTATACCTTTGGGCAATAACTGTGGGCTCTCCTCCATGATGCCCATCAGTCCACCTCTGGGAAAGTGCTGACTAATAGTTGAAACTTCAGCTTCAGGAACAGACTGAATCTGCATCAACAAGTCATCCAAGATTTCCTCTGAGCGTCCGGACACTCTGTATGCCATACACCGAGCGTTGTCAAAAGAGATGCGCTTCTTTATATTCTGCCATGAAGAAGCGAGATGTTATTATCAATACAAATCAAATATACACACACACAGGATACTGATCAAGGATAGACACTCAAACTGAAATAAACTTGACCACAAAATTATAATTCTTTTCTTGTACACATCAGGCAGCATACAAGACTATATCAGTGGGACAAATTGGTCTCCACTAAAAGCCAACCACAAAGAAGAACAAAACATAAAATGGAAATATCAGAACTAACATTTTGTGAAGGACAGAATTCTTTCATATACAGGGGGTCCCTGTATGAATGGGGTTAAACTTGAAATTTATAGTATTTTATTAATCTGATAACTTATTTTTTACTCTCATTTACTGTATTTTGTCATTCTATTTCTTATTTTGTCATAAATTAAGTGATTTTAGATGTATATAAGTATGATATGTACATAGCATGTGTTCCGACTTCCATACAAATTCGACTTAAGAACATCCTCAGGAACGGAACCTGTTTGTAACCTGGGGATCCCTTGTATGTGTACATTATATTATAAACTTCTTTGGGACTGAGCAAATTAATTGGTAAAGACAAAAGCAGTTAGAATACTTTCTGTCATCCAGGGATATAAGAGGATTCAAATTATCCTCTGAGATTGACTGAATAGATTTTCCATAATCAAATGAGTTCTAAGTTGAAGAAAGTCACTGACTTGACTGTAAACATCTCTGCTGGACAAACAACAACAGGAAAAAATAAAAACAAACACCTGACAACCATGGCAGGACAAGGAGAGTTCACTATATACCTTCAATCATTAGTATTACTGTTTTAGGCTAAGTATGACTAATCTTGTTACTCAAAGAAAGGTTCGCTCTGATCCCCCTTCCTACCATAACACAGCTCTCGTTGGTGCCGCCCCCACTATGCACACACACACACCATCCAGGTCGATGGAAAAGATCCTTTTAAAGCCCTTTAACTTCATATCTAACCATTAACATTTCAATATGAACTTCCTCTTCCTCATTCATATCTTCCCTCACAGACAAATCAACAGACATACTAGAGAGGTAATGACAGCAGACACAAGCACGTCTACGAGAGAGGAATAATGACAAAAGGTAGCTTACATTGTCGATGTATTTGCCGAAGAATGTAATGGTCTCCACATCACCAGCTTTGGCCATCTGGATTATTAAGTACTTCAACACTCTGGCCACCGGGTAGCAGTTAGTGATCAACATGTCCTGAGTTAACTTGGTCGCTTCACTTATCCGGCCATCTTGCACGAGACCCTCCACCAGTTTTGAACGATTCTGTATACTCAACTGCCCACCTGACTTCTCTATCCTGTTGACAAATAAATAATAATAAGAGTAATATAGGTCAATACTGTGGTTACTTTGTTTATATGTGTGTTGAGTGTTTGTCTAGTGATTCAACCCTTTACCCTGACACAAATGGACACCAACCCAAACTCAGTCACTATCTGGTTATTTCCAGTTGTCATCAGTCCAGTTATTCTTGCTAACATACTGGTGCTGAGGCTGGTCCAATCCTCATAACCTGTTTACCCCTCCAGCTCAAAGTGAAGGTAAAATATTGCATGAAGTTTTTTGCTTAAATTGCATTGCAGAGTGAGTTGTTATTATGAGCATCAACAAAGTAATTCTGATTCTACTGAAAACTCTCACCAGGAACAGAACTCACTGCTCTTTTACGGAAACTGCGGATGTGAAGTCCCTCGCCGCCAGGGCCTCGGTAAACATCGTTCTTGGGGATGCACTGGACGCCTCTTGAACAGCAGCGGGAGTCGGTGCCGGAGACTCGGGAATGACGAAGGGAACATTATAGCCGTTCTCCTTCAGGAAACTTCCCAGTTCTTGGAGGAAAGGCTCACTAGGTTGAATGTTTTCCTCCTGCATAGATGTCCAGATGCCCAAGGCTTTATCACAGTCCTTCGTTTGTTCTGGAGTTAAAGTAAGTCAAGTTGTATATTAGGATTACATGAAGATTAGGCTTATTTAATGTGATGATTAAACACCTTAACTTAACCCAAGCAAACATTAACTAACTCAACCTGACCCAAACAAATAATCTACCCTAACCAAAAGTACCTATTTCAACTAAACCTAACCTAACCTAATTAAACATAATCTACTTTAACCTAACCCAACAGAAGGCAACCTAACCAAACCAACTCCAGGTCGCATTAGTGTGTCCAGCATCTAAGTAAACTCAATATCAATCTTTTTTTTTTCCTTTAAATCTTACACGACTTTTCCTACGATGAAGCAAGGTAGGTGGAACCCGAAGAGGCAAACAACGCACGTCCCTTACATTTGCCACTCACTCCATCGGCCACCCAACCTAATTGACGTCACCGATGTACTCAACCACACAAACAATCCCCAACCTCCCCCCAAAAACAAAAAAAAAACATTTCTCCTGCCCACTCCCCCATTGCTTCAAATAATCTACCCTTTACCCATCTAGCAGTTCACCTCCATCACATTAAGAGAAGCTATACAAATTACACTGGTACTTGAGTAGAGAAAAACAATGTAATATTTCACACAATTTCATTTAAACATTAACATTCTCGAGTCATCACCTTAAGGACTATTGTTAAATCTTGGGACTTTGGTTGAAATGGTGGTGGAGGAGGAAGGGGGAGGGGGAAGGGTGGGCTATAGTATCCACCATTATCCAAATATCCATAAGAATATAACCTAAGAATCCCCATCTCCTTAGAATCTCCATCCACTAAGAACACCTTAAAGAAATCCAACTTTCCTGCTATACATCTCGAGCCACTTGTATACGTCAGTTCATTTCACACACCATAATACTCTCCTTTTAACCTACACTGGAACGATAATTACTGTATAAAACTTCTCATAAGCTTCTACCAGGTGTGAGCTATATAAGTACAGTATAATGTATGTACAGAATATAAGATGAAGCAGGTTAATGTATAAATATTACTCATCAGGAGCCTATAATGACCATACATACATACAGTACTGTACATACATACATATATACATACTATAAGCTTTCATTAAATGGTACTCACTGTAAGCTTTGATGAGGTTCATATACATCATGTTTCTGTCTAAGTCAAATATGTCCCGAGTGACAGTAACGAGGTTCTCCAGTTGCGTTATTTTGCCGTTATCTAAGTAGCGCTGGCACTGGTTATCTAGCTTCTGGTTAAAGGCTCGTAAACCAGGAGTCTGGAACACAGAATCGAGGACAAGTTGTAATGGTCATCATCTAACAGCAGCACTGATCAGTATGGGTGAATATAAAGGGTAAAAAAAGAAGCACACACACACCTACATCCTTCCCCTATTACCACTGTCACCATTATCACCACCATCATTCACCATCCCCATCATCACCATCATTCCCATTACCATTTTTCACCATCACATAATTAAAAAATGACAAAAAAGGATCTCATTTTATTAAGCTAATGAGTCACATTCCATAAATCAAACCGAGATGACAGACAGATGGTGTGAAGGAACCCACTAGTTTATTCTCCCTTAAATCTTGATGAGTGAGAGATACAGATCCACTCAACTACATCACCTATTATCTTCTTTATTCACTTGTGTCAAATATTATAATCACTAAAGTATTAACGACTAGCAACACTTGGAAGCTTCTTAACAATCATGAACAGAACAAGCACAAGGGAGACCAACGGGCCATATTAAGGTACAAGTGATGTGTGTACAACATTAGTCACTGACCTCCAGGAGCTTCTTTGCCTGTTTGATGCGACCGCACTCGACAAACGCGAACACCATGTCATACAAGCTGTTCAACTCTCCGTGAATCTCAATACTCATGTCCATAATCTTCTGTAATCTGAAAAGGAAAAGAGAAAGAAAATGTAACAACTTGTGAAATTCTGTACATTCATTTGTATTGTTACATGTCTTAGCCACTTGTGTATGGGTTACCCTCTGTGCTGAATAAAATCGTCTGGGGCTAGATTAAGTATTAAAATTGGTGTCCCCATAGCGGATGGGTTAAGAACAAAAATCAATCAAAACTGTTATAGATAAACTAGTTTTGAGTGAGCAGTGTTGTGATGGATATGACTGATCTTCACATTTGCCTCAACCAACAATGTTTAAGGCCCCTGTTCATGAACCTCTAGCCTCCACTTGTCTATCTAACAAGTTCAAGTTATAAATCATTCATCTAGAAATCTACAGTCCCTATCCCATCTGCTTATAAAATGTAATTTTATTTTTAAAGGCAACTCTACTACAGACCTCTACAATAAATACAAACTTCAACTCTTGACTCTGCACGCTCCACGAACTGGCAGTTCACAAGATATATTTGTAGCAATAATGTTTCACACATAGAAACTTGTTGATAAACAGTGAAAAGGTTATACAATCACCCAGGGGTCATAATTCATCCACACATTCTAAGTAAATGCATGGAATGCATTATAGTGTAGTGTAGTATAGTGTACTGTACATAAATTAATGGATAAATACAACAGTGACACACACAATTGCCTTAAGGTATCATCAGAGCATCTTGTGGTAAGCAGTATTTGAGATTAAGATATAACATACTGATTCATGTATAAATATGTTTCAAAAATTAAGTTTAAGTACTTTGTTCATAAGTTTACCATTATAGTATTTTGTCTCATGGAATCTCTATTATATGAACAATTTATACTGTTGAATGACTGCAATCCCCGCCCCCAGCTGGAAGCTTCTTGTAAATACACATGTTGTATGACACCCACTACAGTACTGTATCTTGGAGCTTCCCAATGAAATATTCAGGTGAGAGTGTAAGGCTCTCCTCATGAGCTATAATATAAAGAACCTCCAGCAATTGGTTTACCATCAGAGAGGTTGGGGGAATACATACCTTGCACAATGAGAAATAATTGGAAAGCGTTTTTCATAGCCCACCCTGGAGGAGACAAGGCAAAATTTTTTGGATAAGATCGTTCCTTTAAAAAATCTATCTATATATACAGTAAATATATATATACAGTATATATATATATATACATATTTACATCTCAAATACTGTTACACAATAAATAGCATGTGGTTTGTTCACACACACTCTTCCAAACATTACCTTTGGGACAACTTTATATACGTGTCCACACAAACAACTCACATTACAGTATTTCTAAATTTATGTTCTCCTCACTCACCTAAAACACTCTTGATCTTTTTCTATAAATCTCTTCTCTCTACACACACTTATGACAATAGTATCTACCTGATAGTCCACTGCCTCCCTCATACCTGCAGTCACATATCTGAGATGGTTACAGGTGGGTTCTTTACAACTACCCCCCAATAATGCTTTCCTTCATTAACCTCAAATACAACACCTGTCCATCTTCACAGGGTCATTTCCGTGTTCATAAACCGGTAAAGCCGCAGGACCGCACCTCAACACAACTGTACATCTCAACCAATCCTAACTTAATTCTAGAGCTTTACACAAAACAGATTAAAACACATTTAAAGGACCATATTACAGGTTCAAAGCTGGCACAATACATTTTAGGGGACCAGTGTGTATGTGTGCGTTTGTGCCTATGGGTGTAATACAGTAAAAGTAAACAGGTAAAAACATTCCTGTGTGTTTGGGATTACATCTTTCCAAAAACTACAAGACAAAGCAAAATGTGAGGGTCGCTGGCTTCCTGGATCCTATGGGACTCATGAAAAATAGAGCTACACTACTATGCCATCGTGTCCTCCATACTCTGTGAATGTGAGATCATTGTACTTGCCCAAACTACCAAAACATTCCATTCTATATTAATTTACTTACTTATATTTACTCTTTCTTTCATGTGGCATAATATTACAAAATAATTTAAACTGTATCAATAGGATTTTGTGAATCATTCCTTCTTCACACTCACTTATCTGCATCCTCTAGGTTGATACACTGTGTGGTCAGCTCCAGCTTGAAGGGCGTCGCACGGTGTTCCCGGCAGATGGCTTCAAACTCCTTCATAGCTCCTGCCAGATCCTCACTGTAAAAAGTTTGATTACATTTAGTGTTCTTTCATGAACAGAAATTTCCAAATGGGGAAATATTAACACTATATTGAAGGTTATGCATCAAGATCTGCAACATTATAATCATATATCATAAGTGATGACAGCGGGGTAGTGTTGTCTGGGTTTCATGTACAGTACAGTATATATAGTAGGAATAAATGAAAGAGAGATAGTGTAGTGAGTGTGTGTGTGTGTGTGTGTCTATTTCCAGTCCCTTGTATCAATCAAGAAAGGCTTTAAAAATAACAAATAATGATAATAAACATAAACCCTTAACCCAAATGATTAATGTTGTTGCTACAAACTTGATAAGGTAAGCTCTGATGAGTGGCCCAAAGATGCTGGCTCCCGGCTGAACTACGTTGCTCTTCAGGAGGACCTCTATAAGGCGACGCACTGCAGCAGTATCCCCTGTATCTGAGAGCTGATCCACCATACGCCTGCTCATGTTGCCCATTATTCCTGCCTCCCTGTTGTCATCAAAGCTTTCTAGTGCATGACTTTCAATTAGCTTGATTGCCTCTGGAGAGATAAAGTTTGACTGGTTATGACCTGATCTCAAGAAACAGCAGGTAAATAAGACCCTGACTCTCCCCATCTACAACTGCTTTACAAAATAAGTCATATTCTCCAAATGCAGATGAGATTCTTACCCACACAATATATATAAAAGTCAATACAAGAAAATAATGCAGCTAATTAATTCTATCCTGTACTGTAAATGTGATCCTTATTAGAGCAGGGAGCAGGAACGTCACTCCCCGGAAAAACCTGAAACTGACTTTATTACTAACACTATCTCCCTGGACGGAAGGCGAGTCAGAACATGAGAGAGTATCCTTGAACAACTGAATATGGTCTACTAACAAGAATCATATTAAAAACAATTCATTCATCCAATATTCATCCTCCTATCTTATAAGGTTCTAAAGATCAATCATAAACTGCAACTTCCTCAGTCAAGCATGAAGAAACATTATAAAACTCCTACCAATCAGGGCTCATGATTACTCCTACTAGTCATGGCTCATAAGCACGTGCAATATTTACACTGTCGAAGAAATATCATCAACTCTTCTCCTCATAACAGATTTTGGAGACACCAGCTGTAACAAAACCCAGAAAAGACGATAAAAGTTCCTCTCGACGAATAAATTCATGATAAAATACACCTTAAACAGCATCGCTTCTTCCCCCCCCCTCAAACAGCATCTCTTCTTCCCCCCCTCCTCACCTTCTAATTGACCCTCCTGGACCATCAGCGACGCCAGACGCAGGAACTTGAACGGTGTCAGCTTGGTGTCGGGTTCTTTGGCCTCGAGCTCCCGCAATAGTGTCGTGGCCTCTGCGAGTTTACCGACGCTCACGTACATGTCAATCAAGAGGACGTACGTACCCGCGCTGATGGGGTACTGTTCTGCGTCTAGTTTCTGTAACGCCCAACAATAAATTGACAAATTACTGTTTAGTACAAGCAATGAAAAAAAAAAAGTAAAATGATGAAAGTACAGGAGTTTAAATGAGAAAAATCAAAAGAAGGATTTTTTTTACTAAAGGGGTACTGTACCGACCTTCTTCAAATCCTCGGCTTTCTCCACGTCTTTGTTGCGGGCGTAGGCGGGGAGGAGGTAGCTCAAGATGTTGATGGTCGAGAGGTTCTTGTTCTCTAGCTCCAGCAGACGACGCTCCAACTCATCCACACTCTGCTGGTGCTGGTGAAGGCAGGGAGTTGTATAAGTTACCCCCCCTTGTTAACTTACTGTACAGCAGGACATCTATTATTAAATCTCTATGTCTTTTAGTTTAGTTTTTGTGGCTATTGTTAAACCTGTGCTGCATATTCCATGCTAAATCTGTGTCCGGTACCATTGTTATATATGTAGGTTAAATCTGCAAATCTACGTTGTTAAATTTGTATACTACTACAGTATATTGTTACCTGTATGAACCTACAGGTATATGTGTATACAATATTTATCAATTTTTAAATCCATTTGTCTTTAGTGAAATCTGTACTGTATTACCTGTTGTTAAATCAGTTTATGTTTTCCTAAATCTGTAAATATATATAATGTTTTTAATCTATATATCTATTGTATCTCTTCATCTTCAATAAAAACAGCTCCTGCAGAACTTCTCTAAATATGAAGGTTTCTGCTCCAAATACACAGGCTTCAACTCCAAAGTACAAAAGCTGCAATTCCTTGCACTGCACTAACTCCAACCCATCTATAGAACTTTACCACAATCATCTATGGCTACTTTGATTATGAGGATGCTCAATACAACATCAATAATACCACAAGTGACAAAACATTATTCCCAAACCTATACTGAATTAGCAAATAACTGTAAACAAGAAAAAACCACAAGTTTTTATGTCTTGGAAATGATAACTGGGAACACATGCAGATTAGGCACTCCAGTGTACTTCACCTAATGAATGAACACCCCAATGTTAATCTATCCTTACCCAACCCCCAGGTAGTGTCATTGGTGTTTAATCCTCAGGTGAAATAAGCCGGGGTGCCTAATCTTCACATGACCAGACAACTTACATAGGGTCCCTGGGTTTCTCGGGTCAGGGGTTGGAATGTAAGACTTCCCGACGACAGTCTCTCCAGCAGGCCAGACACTTCCTCGGTCATTTGCTCCCCCACCTTGGACGTCACAGATGCGGCACTGGCCTTGCTGATGCTGATGCCACGATTCTCCATTTCCTAGGGGACAGGAAGCACAGATTCTTACTTATGAAATTCTGATAAGGATGTTGACAGAGGGTGAGAGGGATATTTTTTACATCTTAAAAGAAAGGGAAGAAGGGAGGTCAAAAGTAGAAGGATTTAGTAAAGTTATTGTCCAATACTTTTAGAGAAGATGTGCTCATAATATCAATCTAAGGTGTAAATGAGAAGTTGAGTTTGTCTATTAAAGGCTAACAATAACAAGACACAATCATCTGGTAACTAACATTACCTTACAATTATCAAAATGTTACTGATTTAAGGTCCATTTTCAATATACATAAGCAAAAAAGTCTTCTGTACATTAGTGGAAAGGTTGTATTCGTCTTCCGTGAGTCAGTTCTTTAATAATAGGAATAATTCAGGTTTTAACTCCATAACTATCAATAGAATAATTCCCCCAGGCAGCAGTTCCACACTCACAGCTATAACAGCTTGTGACAGACCTCTAGGATGGCCATTATTACATGCCAGAAACTTTACTTACCATCACAAGAGTTACTGGCAATGGTAGGTAAAAAAATAAGTGATCAACTGCAAGATAACACCACTCAACCTGTTAAGCTTACTAACATATGTTCATTATTCCAAGAGAAGGTATATATGACAAGGCTTCAGCAAACAATAAAATGTAACAATGTCTTCAGTGAATGTACAACCAATGGGTAAAACAGGTATAAAAGACAAACTACCTGGTTCCTGGGAGGTGACCCCAGGAGCAGGAATACTGTATGTGTTACAACCAATACAATACTTTATACATTTGTCTTTATGTATTTTTTATTTGTTCACATAACCTTTGGTTACCATTTATTCAAGTATAAAACAGAAATTTTCAATACTCAGAGTAGAGATTTTCATGTTCAAAGGTAAAAATTATTTGTTTATGAACTTCTGCAATTTTTTTTATATCGTTGTTCCCAAGAAGCATCATTAAACCTGCCAAAACCAAGTAGTATATCTGTCACCTGTTTCCAAGCTCCATGCAGCTTTCCTCAACATTTTCAAAGCATTTAGCAAAGTTTGGCACTGATCTTTGTTGCAAAACTACCCTCATATAGACTTTCTCTTGGTGTCTTGCTAAACTGGCAACACAAAAATGAGAATAAAGGAAACTTCATATATGAAACAAATATTATTTAACTCAGCTGAAACTTCACCCGGAGATCAACAACTAGAAAAGACAAACCACAACAGTCAAAACCACGAGGCAACACCTTCCACAGATTACCTCAGCCACCTAAGTCTAAAAAAAGGTCACATACTTGTAGGATGGGCAGTACTCTGGTGGACACTGCATCCTTGCGGCTCAGCCACACCACGTCCTGGAGGAACAAGCCGGCCACATCCTGCTGGTCTCGCCCTGAAGCTGGCTGGTTAAGTTCCTCGTTGTTCTGATCTCCCCCGGCTGCTGAAGAAACACATCAACAACATGTGAATAATATTTCACCGTAAGTTTCCAATCATTCTTATGGTTCTTTATAAACACCTAAACATCTGTCCTCCTTTCAACTCCTGTCTTTGTCCTATCCTCCAAGACCTCCTTTTCCATATCCCTATTCCCCCTTCCACCTTCCCTATCCCCCCTTTTCACTTAAATTTTCATATGTCCTCCTGCCACCCACATTTTGAATTACAGTACAGTATATAAAAATTTTTGCCATCCCCTCTATGCCCGCACCACTCAAACAAACAACTGAACTCTTACACAAACTCTCCTTCATCAATGTTCCTAACTTTAAGTAAACTCTACAAGCAACACTGAACTACATGCTCTGTATACTACACCACAAACATGTAATTCTCACTCTGTGTTTTGGAAAATTTTTACCTATTGACACACAAACAAAAACACACAACTGGTTCTTTAAAAAGATTAGTAAAATTAACACTAGTGATGTGACACTTTACCTGTCTCTTGGTTCTGGTTCTGCATCTGGCCAAGGACGACACTTGTTGCAGCTGCTTCTCCCGTCTTGACATAAATCTCGGCCAGTTCTCGTCGGAATACGTTGGTCAGCCGGCATCGATACCTGGACACTAACCATCAAAAACACTCGTGTAAAATATGATGACGAACTAAAATGCCAAATACTGTGAAACTTTCATCCAACGGCCCTGTGCCCATATACTGAAGTCTGTTAGATGGAAGCTTCACAGTGACAGCTTTTTGTAACTAATCAACTGGTTATAAATGAAGACACTGTTTAAAGTATTTCATTACTCACCAAAAGACTTCTTAAGACTACTTCAAATCTCTAATTTAGTGGATAGAAGATGCTACCAAATGCAACCCTCAGCTTAAACTGTTTAGTTGTTAATAAACATAAAATATCCACATTGTTATCATTAACTTTTGCCGAATGTACTGTACTCTGCCTCCCATCAGTAACAAATGCTTACATAGGTTTGATGCCGCCACGACATCCCCGTTGCTGAGAAAGTAGGCGATGCAGCCATTTATTACTGACGACAGAGACATTCCTGCATCTTTTAAAGATCCAATCATGGCGTCCATGTCGTCTTGGCCGAGAGCTGCCGGGATGACGTATATCTTGAAGGTCTCCAGAGTCAGGGGAACCTCTAAGGTCACCATCTCCTTCACAGTGCCATACACCTCTGCAAAGACGCACAAACACACGACCTTAAACTAACATGAAAACAAAGCAGTAAAAATAAATACAAGTACAGCCTGTTCTTCCATCATAAACATCCTTCCTGATATAACACCAATCCTCCCCCTCAAGATACTTTGGTCAATACACAAATAAAATCAAATGCAACTTTTTTTTATACAAGAATCAATATAAATGTTATAGCCGTACCATAACTCTAGTAAACGTCGTCCGAGTGAAATTTTTGTTACTGGACGCTGGTCAAAAAATAAATAAGGAAAAGTATTAATCTGAATGTTTTAAGGAGTTTTGATTCTGGTATATGAGCTGTAGACATAACCAGAGTGTTTGACCCATGTTGGCGAGAACAATTCACGAGGAAGAAGACAATGTGTGGGACACCTTTAACTGTTACTAAGACAACTGTCCAGCCGTCTATGAACCAATACGTAAGCGTCCATCCTTAGGTGAAGAGGGAGGTGATTCTGCTGTCTTGTCTCAGTATCTCCCCCACCTCCTTACCCAAACTCTCTGACTGACATCCATTTTATATAATTTACATATTCAATTAAGTTCTTGGTGAGAGAATTTTGACCAGAAATGACCCCAGGAACATAATCCCTATCATATTATTATAGGTCTATGGTAAAGTTGTGATCAATATACTGTACATTGTCTCACTTAACGTTGCACTGTTCAAGGATACATGTCAGATGTATAGTGAAGTTTACCTGAATTATTTAACCTAATAACAATACTCTTAACCTAACCTAACCCACAGTGCCAGTCTAGGCCTGGGGATTAGTTTGGTCCACTGCTACTCACTGTCCAGTTGGCCTAACTTGGAGTAGTGGATGATGATGGGCCAGAAGTAGTGTGCTCTTAGGGGAGCTCCGTCCTCGTTCATAACCCTCAACATGAACATGGCTACGTCTGGCAGACCATTTGAGAGAGCAGCACCAAGAGCGGCTTCTAAGGCAAACGTGTTGAGTCCCTGTTTTTTCATTTCTTGACAGTAATGAACTATTGTTGAAGATGGCTGTGGAAACAAAAAACATGTAAATAAAGTTTTCTTCATGATATACTAAACAGAGGATGAGACATGATCCCCATTATGTCCTCTAGTGAGTGTGAGTAAAAACAGAAACAAAGCAATAAATCCCAGCAAACAACAGATACACTACCAACCACAGCGTCAGAAGATAAAGAATGAATAATGTACCGTCGCCAGGATTAATACAGTGCCTGGCATGTTTTATGAGTGCTGTAAGTGACAGCTCTGTGGAATGTTTATCCAGCATCCTTAGTCTACTATAGCGAGGTTCCTTAGGGCCATTCTGGGAGTTTTAATATGATGTAAACAAACAAACGCTTGCTACATATCACAAAATATGCCAGGTACTGATATTCCCCAGAGCCACACACACTTCCCTTAGCAACACAACATGAGGAAGATTCATCACTCAATTGTTAAGTTCCCAAGTCAAAACTGAACCAACTTTATCTCAAAATGTGTAAGAGCATGATAAAGTCTCTGACAATGAAGCTAATTAACAGAGCAACTTCCAAAAGGTTCCCAGGAGGTCTTACCGTGCCGCTCTTTACAAGGTGCTTAATGAAGAAGAAGCCTGCAGGACCAGTCTCTCCGTTAGAATTCTGTGGGGTCTTCATGGTGGAAAACATCTGGTAAGCTACCTCGTGGCATCCAGCATTCAGGAGGCGGTAAGTAAGGTTCATGACATCTTGCTGGTATCCCTGTACTTTCTGAAGCTTCTCAATTATCTGTAAATAATTATCATATCTGTGGTCAAAACTATTCATGAAATTTGCTTGAGGTAGAGATATATCCTAAGTTTATTATCTAACTAAACATTTCCTGAGAAGCCTGATGACTGGAGCTCGACCACAAGTTGTTGCTGGTGAGTGTAGGAGTTTGTGATGAATGTTTACACTTGTTTGTAGGAGTTTGTGATGAATGTTTACACTTGTTTGTAGGAGTTTGTGATGAATGTTTACACTTGTTTGTTGGAGTTTGTGATGAATGTTTACACTTATTGAGGAGTGACGGGATTGAGTTAGGTTATGTCTCCAACTTCTTCACTTTTCTGGGGATTTTCCTGTTGTTGTTATGGGAGGTGAAGTTAAAAAGTGGATGGATGCTTAGTGTCTCGTTATGAATGAACCATTAAAAGACTTCATGGGTGGTAAGTAGCTTGTTTCTGACAGTGTAGATAATTGCAACAGTTTTCCAAAAATTTCTACGTTTCTTTTTTGGTTGATTGTATCTAACCTTCCAATGTTCAAAATCTCAATATATGAATTTCCTGAACAAGCTGATAAAGGATCTATTGTCTGCAATGTGATATCTGTATAATTATTTGTCCAAATGACTTATCCAAAAAATTAATTACTTTTCTAACATTAATTACTCGCTGCCTATGGTTTTTTGGATTGGAATATTTAGGTATCTGTCTGTATGAAGCAACTTAGGGTATATTTATGGTAGTGGAAGAGGAACACGACAGAAGAACAAATCTCTTAAAACAGTTAGATTGACAAGTAAAGGGAGACTAAGTTGCTCCTAGTTCTGGTCATTCTACGTCAAAAGAGGATTACAGGAATACGTCTGGGTACAGTATAGTACAGTATTTAATAACAGCAGGAAGCAACAGTGAGAGGTGTTCAAACAAACCTGTGGTACGTGTTGTGTGTGTCCCTTCATTGCCAGCGCTTGGATCACCTCCATCAAGTCGCGGTCGTGGAGGTGAATGTCACTCGCTTCACATTCTTGTAAGGCCGACTTGATACCCTCGATGTCTCCCTGTTCGGCGTAACTCACCAGCAACATTTTGTACGAGTCTGAGCTGGGCTCCAACCCCGAGCCTTTCATCACTTCCAGGACCTTATGCGCACTTTCCATGTCACTGTAACATAAACACAACAAGTTATAAGAACTCAAGTGGAGAAGAAGGTTGGTAATAAGGCATGTGGAAGTAAATGAGCCACAAAAATCAACTTATTACAGGAAGGCATCTTTTACACAAGTGTTTTTCTGTTACACATCTTAAAAATCAATGGAGTTTAATGGACAATTGTGTCAAAGATCCCACTAAACTCCATTAATTTCAAAATCATGCCCCCAAAAAATTGCGAGAGGCCAAAGGGTTCAGGACAAGGCCTTTCAACATATTTCCCAAATTTCCACAACTAGCTAGAATTAGTGATGGGTATACTGTGCATGAGTCACACCAGAAATGTAATGATTTGACTAGATGTGAGTACAGCTCCATTACTTTTACCGACTGTACACTATATATGTCATGTAGTGGTAAAGTCTAGGAAAAACAAATGTTTTTACATGAAACTACAGTGACCATTTGAATTGGCAACTAGCTCAGACTACCAACCCTGGAACAAAACAGCAGAGAAACTGTTAGTCTAATGTACGTATGTAATAGGAGGCATGGTTATTGCTGCTAGTGATTATGAGTCCCATGCAGGGAGTAAAACAAAGCTCTGGGTATAGAAATGAATGAAACCTAACTAATCTCCTTTTATCAAGTCTGGTGTTGAGTGGGGATGATGCTGGGGTGATGGATAATAGCAATAGAACAACTGTGATAATAGTGGCTAGGATGAACAAATGGAACGACTAAAGGAGGGTAGCGCTGTTCTGGATTCTGGCTTCCCTGACTCAGGTGCTTCCTTCCTACAACATAGACCCCACATAAAATACATTTAATTTACCCCCTATCATTTCATTTATCAACCCAGGATTAACTCTGACCAGCAAGAGGGATATTTTGATAGGAGGAAATCAACACTGGCTCACCCTACACCAAAACAACTTGATGCATTGGAAGATGACAGAGAGTAGACTAAATAATAATGATAATAATAATAAATCCTGCAATTCAGAACTGCACCTACCGAGTATAGGGGGTAGTGATAGTAATAAAACAAAACATGGGACTTGAATCACTATATCTGTCTTCCCTACATGAGTCTACTATATCCCTCTCCTCTATATCACATTCTTCTACAGTCTTAACCATGAGTGTAGAATGTAAAGAGCCTAAGACCACCACAATAGTGACTTACTTTGCTCTAGCATGGCCCATGATGAGAGCATTGAAGATGTTTTCACCCACGGGTAACCCTTTCGCCTTCATGAACTCGAGGATTTTGGTGGCTCCGTCGATGTCTCCATCCTGCGGAAATATAAAAAAGATTAGTGTGATGTCTGCTCTTTTTTTTTCAGTCTTTATTTACTGTTGTCCATTTACTATTATTGGTAAGATTTGATAAGCCACTCAATGCCATCCTCTCCTATCATTCATACATGTTATTGCTTCCTAGATATCAATTGCCCTCTCTATCTATACTAACCATCATCATCACTATATGGTGTACATGTTAAACTAAATATCAAATTGAGCAAAACACACCTTCAGAAATACCTAATACCAGTTGATCAAGTACTCAAGGCAGTGCACTCTCCATAAATCTCTAACTATATGCTGTGCTTCTCTTCTACTTTGGAAATATTTATTTTCCCTTCCCCAATTCATGCTTGTTTATACTTCCTGGGAGCAAACACCTTCCTCCTATATGGAGAAACATTCACCTGCATATATTGTATAAGAAATACCCCCAATCACCTATGTCTAACAAACTATGTCTTACTAATGAACTTACTGCAATGGTATTTAAGTTATCTACAAATGGCGAGTCACTATTTTTTGCAGAACCTCTTTCATTGTTCAGTATCTCTAAACCATTACTGTGTGTCTTAGATGAAAAACAATTTACAGGTGAGTACAGTTAAGGAATGATGAAATACGAGACTTACCTGGCAGTAGCGAGAGATCAGGCGCTGGTACGTTACTCTGTTGGGTTCAATGTCATTCTTTTCTAGATCAGCCAAGAAAGCCGTGGGTGAGAACTTGTGTTCATTCTCCAGATAAACCCGCAGGAGAGTGTTGTAATGACTCACATCAAGAGGAATGCCTGAAAGAAGATCAATCTGTTACAACACGACCCACAACTCATAGTTCATCCTTGACACTTTCACTAAGTCATCTAACAAGAAGTCCACTAAGAAAACAGTACAGTATCTGGCCACTTGTCATACAATGAGCGCCAAACAGTTTTTCTTTTATTCTGGCGAGCCTTTTCCCCACAGTGCCGTAGGGAGGCTGGAATCATGGCAAATACAGACTCAAAACAATAATGATTATATAGTACTGTAGGCGTAAAGAGTTATATGAGTTTAATGTCTTATATAAACATCTCAAAGCGAATGTACCATAACAGGACAGCATTTTGTAGTTGAGTCTAGCTGTTCTACAATATAGCAAGAAATAATGATCAAAACTGAAGAAGTAAATGAATAAAATAAGTAAACTCTTGGGAAACATCAACAATAACATAAACAGTAACTATGTACAGTACATTATGAGAACCAAGAACTGGAGATCTGCTGCTGGAATGTTTACAGTATGTCTTAATACAGTAACTAGTGCCAGCTAGAACAGTGTCTGATCCCCCCTCTAGAAAAATAACACAGAGACAGACATATAAACAGACACTAACACAACACACAAAGAGAGACCAAGATCCCTCACTGTCAGGTACAAGTGCATAAATCTACAACATGAGCAGCCTTGACCTACGCAGTTCATGTAGTGTTTCCCAGATGTCTTGGACCAGCTTGTTTCTGACTTCAGGCAGCTCTTCAGGAACGAGGCTTCCACAGCACCGCAGCAACAGCAGACTCTGAGTACTGGTGGCATGCCCTGAAAGTTGTCAGTTCCATAACAATGACATACATTACAGAACTTATAGCCAATATGAACTCAAAACTGTATCAACATATGAACAGAGGAGTTGATATACAGTTATGGGATAGATTAATATTGGTAACCCTATTGAGCTTTAAACATAACTTAGTTACATATAAAACTTCAACATCCTTTATGGCATTTCTCACAATTTGTGGTGTGGCAGCCCCCAAGTGAGCAGGGTTGGCTTAGCCAAAGTGCAAGTTCAACACATACAGTATTATAGCGACAGAATAACATCCCATAAACTCTGCCTCAACAATCAACATGTGTCTCATGGGTTGATTCTATAGCACCTACAGTAGCCTACATGTAGTCCTGCTCGTATATTCATCTAAATATATTTTGAAACAATTCTTTATACATTGGGAGGGAAGTGAGGGTTACAGGAGAGGTAACAGCAACAGTAGTCCTCCCAGGGCTGTGTCTCTGGCCCTGAGCTGTGTTATTAGAGCACAGTAATGAGCTGTACAATAAGTTTCAGATGTATGAACATGAGCAGACACAAAATAATTAATGTAAAAGATCCTTCTATAATAATTACATGAATCCCTCAAGGGTAACTCTACACGTAGTATAATTTTTATTTGTATAAACCAAAACAAACTAAAAGGAACCATACTCAGGGCTTTAATTTCTCCAAATATATCCTCAATATCCTTCTTAAATATGCGTCCTGTTCTCCGTATGTCTGTGTCAATGCGGTACAGAGCCTTGTCGATGCCTTGCGCTGGTCCCTGCCCACTTCTGACATTTTCTACAGGTTTTTGTGCCGACAGTAATCTGAAAAAGTCCAGACACAGATCAATACACGAAAAACCTGGAAACACCGTACCTGTATATGCATTAATAATCTTCAGTATTATTCTAAGGTTAGTGTGAGTACATCAGGTGGAAGAGGAGGAAAAAAAGGAGAGTAAGTGAAGATTATAGTTTGAAATGGAAAACTTGAAGCTCTATACAATACTCTGAAGATGAGAATAATAATAAGTATGAACAATAAATCACATTCATATTTTGTCTTCACCCTTCACTCTTGTTTGTGTAGAGGTGACATAATGGTAACAGCTACTATTGGTCATAACTCACTAATGAAATACAAACATAAGTAGATTAACCCATTACCAAGCTGGTGACTTTCTACAACAGAACCCATTTAATTTGATGTGGGGAAGTAAAAAGCATATACAAGTACTGAATGCTATTATACATTTCTTCTGCCTCTTCCTGCTAGTCTGTGCTATCTGCAATAAGGTAATTTGGCAGAACTCATTGGTTTGTTCTTATATATAATGAGATAAAGTGAAGTGATATATATTTTTTCTATTGCGGTGGATATTTTGCCGTGACCGGTACGTTCCTACTAACGCTATTTTACCGTGAATGCGCTCTGATTGGCTAATCGCCCATTACTGGTGAACAACAGAAGAATTATATTTCACCGTGACTCTGATGGTATTGAGCATTTATTTTGATGTGAGTTGATCGTTGTGTAGCTATCAACATACCTAACCATATTTCTGTTGTGCATGGAAACTTATCATTATAAAAGAGGCAACATTTACTAGAACCTAATCTAGCCAACCAAAGAAACCTACCTAACCTTACCTAACTTCCTAGCTGCGGGAGGGGAGGGGGGGACGGCGGACCCACCATCATATTAAACAGAAAGTACTTAGCCAATCATAGCACACTAACGTAAAATAGTGTTAGTAGGAACTTAGCCACAGTCACGGCAAAATATCCAATACGTTTTTTCTATTTCCCTGGGGTGCCACAGCTTAGGCCTACTTGCTGCTGTGGTCAAATCTGGCACCAGGACGGCACTGAAGATGGCATAACCTAAACGTATAAAGCTGGTAAAGGAGTTCAGGACGGAAACAATCACAAATAAAATATTATGCAAATTACAAATCCTAGAAGGGAGACATTTAAACTTTGATCAGGTTTAAATCTATTTGTTTTTGCCACTGTCTGCCCGTTTATACTGCTCATATAACACTGAAATAACGTGAGTAAGAAGTTTAGGTGAATTATTAGACATCTATAATATACATTTATCTTAAGAGTTTATTAATGATAGTGGCAGCAGACGATGTAACACAAGCCGGTGGTTACCTAACACTACCTTTACCATCATACCTGGTGATGTTAGTGTGTAGTGGTGTTGTCTGTAGTGTTAGAGCCTCACAACGTGGTACATTTGTCGTCCATGATTGTCTAAAACCGCTAAAAATTCTAAGAAAACTGCCAGACCGGAGTAACGCCGCCATGCCTAGGGACTCGTCAGCTGATCTTCATTTCCCATCTACTACAGGACTTATCCATTATCTAACTTATGAATTACACATTTACTCGATGTATTATGATGTTTATTTATATATTATTATAGCATGTTTATTTAAAAAATATATATATATATATTATTTGAGAAATTCCAACGTTAAAATAAGGGTTTTCGTTATCGAGGTGTTTAGTGTATCCGAACCAACAACATTAAAGGTAAAAACAACACATTTTGTTAAATTAATACCACGAGTAACATAACAATATATAGTTATAAAGCAAACCTAACTTAACCTGACAATAGTTGGCATTATTGTTTTTATTCAGCTTAAATTAGGTCGTGTTTGAGGTGCCTACTTAAAATGGCATCAAATGAGTTAACCGTCGTGTTCGTGGAACATTTCCAGCATTAGCTGCCTGACATACACACCCAAGGAGATTTAATACATTAAAGCTTCTTGTACACAACGGTGTTGATGTAAGGAACAACATATATTTTATGTAATAATGCTCTGTACTTTAATGTCTCATTTTAGTTTTACAATGTAAAGTATTATACAGACGTGAAGAAAAAAACCATTCTACAATATCCGCGATGGTATGGTCGAGATATTAAAAAAAATGAAAGAATAATAATGTTTTGTTATGCCTTGATACCTTACACTGGGAGCACTGACAATCAATTTCAAAGTAAAATTCTAATATATTTGGCGTGTTAAATTTAATTTGATCCTAGAAAACATATAATTTTTAGTCTAATACGCGTAATAAAAGTCTATCTGTTTTTAAACACTTTCTGAATAAAAAAATACCATGAACAGGACCGATAAACCAATACATGTACCATGGTTAATTTATTATTGTTGTTGATGTTTAATCATTTAGCTTAAAAGAAGATGAACCCAACTTAAATTAACAATTCGAGGGGAATTAGTTTCAGACAGGCTTCATTGATCCATGTACAGGTAGTCTAAGAAAGCACTTCCCTTTGAACCAGCATCAATATCTAAAGTATTATATTGATATAGTTGATCACATTAGCTGACAGTAAGAATGATTCGAGAGTACTCCTTCATTTAGGATAATTAGTGTGAAACAACAACAACTACAGGGTATACAGTATACTGTATACTCATCCAGGATAACCTAATGATTAGCCCTAGTTTATTATACTCAGATGTAACCATCCTATTGCTGTCTGAGGGGGTTAGATTAGGTCATCTAAATTATAAAGTCTTACAAGCAGGGTTAAATATATCTTATCGTACGCTTGGCAATGAAGATGGAAAGGAAGGATTAATCAATTCTCATGTCGTGTGGGGCTGTGAGTGTGCTGACAAGTCCGTTTAGTCACTCAGTAGTGTGCTGGAAGGGAAGGAAGTCTGGTGTGTCATACGATCCGTCACCCTGGCTGTCTCAACGTCTCACGTCGTCGTCTCTGCCAAAATTATTCAGTTCTGCCACCGCAGTTGTTAAGAGCCACCATGAGACTGGAAATGTTGGTGACCACTCTCATCCTTAACTGGGGTGAGTTGTGTGATATACTTCGTATTATTTCATTTTACTTCTTGTGGTGGCTCTTCTTTTGTCCAACTTTTAGATAGGGCGTAATGAAAGTCTTATTAGCTCTCCTCATTTAGTTGATAATCTTTCTTCCCTTTCTCTTCGCCACAATGTTGCTTCACTCTCTCTCTTTTACAGGTACTTTAATTGGCAATGTCCTGTGTACCTCCGAGAAGGCAGTGGGCTGGTAACACTCGTCTTGCCCGCGGTGCCCACCGTTTCTCTGTGGATGTCTGTCGGCCACACTAGAATAACCCGTTATAGTACATCCTTCTTTCCTCACACAGTCAAATTGTGGAATGCTCTGCCTTCTTCTGTGTTTCCACATTCTTACAACCTGTCTCACTTTAAAAGCTGGTGTTCCGGCATCTTCGTTGGTGTAGATTAATATGGTCTTTTCCTTTCTATTTTTAATGTCCTTTTACTCTTATCCCCCCCATCACCGAGGCCCCGTTGTGGATCGATGACCTGTGCCCATAGTGGACTATTCCCAGTAAAAACAAAAAACAAAAAACATAATTTGCATCTGTCTGTCTGTCTGTCTCTGTCACATTTTCTGTCTCTCTCTGTCTCACCCTCTTTCTGTATGTCTGATTGTCTGTCTCTCTCTTTTTCTGTCTGTCTGTATCTGTCTCTAAGCAATAAAAATTCAGTTTAATTGTTACCAAGGAGTTCAACACACACACACACACACACACACACACACACCGGGTAGGTTTTATCACTATTGCCATTAATTTTAACCCTTTATTGTATACGGTGTCGCGCCTCTGTGCTGAATACAATCTCTCTCTCCTTTCATTCCCATCTTCTACTTTCTCTCTCCCCATTAGTCCTTTCCTTCTCTCCCTCCCTCTTCTTCCTCCTCCCCCATTCTTCCTTTTCCTCTCCCCACTTTTCATTTCTCCCCCTTCCCCCACTTCCTTCCTCTCTCTCCCACATTCTTTCCTTCCCCCACTCGTCCTCCCCAACGCAAGCACAAGTGGCACTAGAAACGGTTGGCAATTGTAGACCAACACGGGTGCCTTGACAACATTGACTGACTGCTTGCTTGACACCCACTGAGAACCAGAGAAAAACACAGTACACCCAGGGCCCACCTCAATGCCTGGCACACCACCTCAATACCTGGTCACACCACACTCACCTGCCTGGCCACACCACCTCAATACCTGGCCACAACCTGGCACACACCACCTCAATACCTGGTCACACCACGTCCACCACCTCAATACCTGGCCACACCACCTCAATACCTGGTCACACCACCTCAATACCTGGTCACACCACCTCAATACCTGGCCACACCACCTCAATACCTGGCCACACCACCTCAATACCTGGCCACACCACCTCAATACCTGGCCACACCACCTCACTCCCTGGCCACACCACCTCACTCCCTAGCCAACTTGTAAGTGATGTATGACGCAGCTACACATCTCAACTCTGTCTCTTGTCTCGAAATATTAATAACGATATTATCAACTTTGGTGGTACTGAAACACTATATTACACACTGACAGCCTTTAAGGTAAATTGGGTTGGGATATATTAAGTCTTCTGTATTTCTCTTACATTATAAGTATTGTAATAACAGTGTTACGATATTCTGGCACTTCTCAACACACAGGGATCATGGCAGCGGGAGCCAAGGTGCCCAACAAGGAAGCTGTTGCCTCCTGCACCTTCTCTGACCTGCCGGGGGCGGTCAAGCACCTGGTGAAGGAGGACCTGGCGGCCTGGACCTGTAATGGTTATCCCAACATGGTGTGGGACTCTGGTGAGGTCATCATCACGGCCTCCTGTAACTCTCAACATGAACTGGACAACAAATGTGGTAAGTTATCGCTGACACAGGTAACAGTGTTTGACTCTTCTCTTTACCGTTGACATAAAAATCATATTAACACTGTTGTATTTTCTCCCAATTTATGTCAATATATTTCCCATCATTCCTGTGTCACTACATTGTTAGGGCTGAGGTGCTAGAATTATCATGAGTACAGTTTTGGCATTGTTTTGGGTTTTCCCAAACTCATGTCAGTTAGAAGAGTTACCCCCTTAGATATGAAGATTTATTTTCTTTGACAGGATGATCCATTTTCTGTATGTTACATTTTCTCTTGTGTTTAAGGGAAACTTAAATTATTCTACCACATTCATCCAGCTACAATAATTATTAGTATCTTTTATCAAATTATTGTTTTCGTTTGTTACTTTCTGACTCAAATCTCATCTGGGTTTTACGAGATAATTGTTGTACGTGGAAGATGTTGAGACTAGATTGACACTTAACACTTATTCACGTACTTAACTCTTCAAGAATTAATCAATCGCTCGACCAACAAGTAAAGAAGAACGTTGAGAAGGCTAGACATAAGTGAATATGTCTCTAAGTAAGTAAATATGAGATAATTCGACACTAACATGAGCGTAATTCAGTTCTCGCCAGGCCGGAGCAGAAGATAGGCCAATGTCCACCGATAAACAGCCGACCCACCAATGCTACCCTCAAGTACCAGTTTCAACACAAACTAGACCTAGGACACGAGCAGGAACAGGTATACGGAGAGTACTATGAGTGCCTGGGTGACCTCAAGTGGAAGTCTAATTTTGGGTTCAGAGGCCGCCTGACTCAGTGCTACGCCGGCAAATGGACTCCAGTGTATGACGTCTGTGAGGAGGGTAAGGTTGCCAGAGGTTGCCTGTGAGATTAATTATATCCCTGAAGTTATCGTTTTTTAAAGTAATTATACAATTATTTATGATGCTATAACTGTTAACTCTCTCTCACACACACAAAACATCTCCTTCCCTCCCTGTTTCCTTTCACACACTCCTTTCCTCTCTTTCTCCACACTTTAACTCCCTCCTTCTCCATTCCCCCTCCCTCTATTCAATCCCTCCACGCACTTTCTTCTTTTTTCCACTCACTCACTCACCCACCCCTTCCCTCCACAGAATGTAAACTACCCTCCACCTGCTCACAGCTGAGGGAGATGGGATTCAACATCTCTGGGCATTACTACCTGGTGCCACCTGAAGATGAGTCCGGTACTGCACAGATGGTGAGTACAGCTGGTGTAATAATAATAATTAACGGTTTATTGAAAAAATTCTGCAGCCCGAAGGCTGAAAATATACATTGGACATAAATGACTTATTACATACATTGGTGGTTTAACAAAAGCCTTCATTAGAGAAAGGTAAAGGAACATACAGTGAACATACAGATTAATGTAGGTGTTGAACAGCAAACATGTAGTGTAGTAACTCCCTCGCAGATGGTGTTAGGAGGAACTCACGTGGTGTAGTAGTTCCCTCAGATGGTGTTATGAGGGACCTGGCGTGGTGTAGTAACCACCTCACAGATGGTGTTATGAGGGGCCTCACGTGGTGTAGTAATTCCCTCACAGATGGTGTTATGAGGGACCTGGCGTGGTGTAGTAATTCCCTCGCAGATGGTGTTATGAGGGGCCTCACGTGGTGTAGCACTCTCAGATGGTGTTATGAGGCCTCACGTGGTGTAGTAACCCCCACAGATGGTGTTATGAGGGGCCCCACGTGGTGTAGTAATTCCCCACAGATGGTGTTATGAGGGGCCTGACGTGGTGTAGTAATTCCCTCACAGATGGTGTTATGAGGGACCTCACGTGGTGTAGTAATTCCCTCACAGATGGTGTGATGAGGGACATGTGGTGTAGTAATTCCCTCACAGATGGTGTTATGAGGGACTTGACGTGGTGTAGTAATTCCCTCACATATGGTGTTATGAGGGACATGTGGTGTGGTAATTCCCTCACAGATGGTGTTATATGAGTGAGGTTTGGTCTTAGGCCTTCCTATCGTAGACGGATTAACACATCACTGGTTGTTGTTGGGTCTCACCGGCCGTTATCACTGGGTACCCGGGACCTCACTGTGTGAAGGTTAACTTGGGTACGACTGTTACTGTTGAGTTGTTCTCACTGACTTAAGCACTGTTCACCACTGTTCACGTCTGTTTAACACTGGTTCCGTTCCTTTCCTAAATGAAATTGTAACTTCTGGCGAGAACTTGTTGATATTCCGGTGGGGAGGAGGGTTCAGGGGAGGGGGTTGGTATGGGCCAACTTAACAGTTGACCTGGCTGCTCCGAGAGGAGCGCCAGGTACGTCTTGACCCTTCGGTGATCAAGGATGTGAGTGATACAGGTGGTGAGTAAAGCTGGTGTAGTGATACAGGTGGTGAGTACAGCTGGTTAATACAGATAATGAGTACAGATGTGAATAAAAATATTAGACACACACGCACACACACACACATACACACAGGTTCCTACTACCACCTGAGATCCCTAGCCCGAGAATTGCTGTTCGACACCACAACAGCATCCAGCCCATATGTGCACTAACTGATCGCTATAAGAACAGCCCAGTCCCAACCATTGTAAAAATTATCAATAACTTATAATAAACCAGTGTATTCACTCCCAGTAAATACTACTTCTTGCACTGTCACTATGTTGAAATGCACTGTAGTTTGAGCTTTTCCCCATCTAGTTATTATATATCTTATTTGTATCACTTATGTTACTTTGTATATTATTTGTAATTCGTAACCCATTCCCCAAATATGTAACTGTATATTTTCAGCCTTCTGGCTGCCAAGCTCTTTCAATAAAGCGTTAATTATTACATATTATTAGGTACAGCTCATGAGTATATTTGACTGTGATGGAGTGCATGATTATCTGGCCCTAATTAATGGGGGGTGGAAGGAGGGAGGTAGGTGTTGAAATCTTACCCTCCCTCTTCACCCTCCTCTACCACCACTCCCACACAACCACTACTGCCACTACTCCTATGACCGCCACCCCAACAACCACAACCCCTACCTCTACCCCACCCCACACCACCCCACAACCACCACTACTACTACACCCTACAACTACCACCCCACAACCACAACCTCCCTGACGGCTCACTTAACGCTGTCTGTGAGAGGGCTGGAAACTCGGTCATACAAGACAATGGGGAAAGGAGTTAGAATTAATAACTGGGTCTCCACTCTACAAACTGACCCCTTTACCGTACACACAGCCTTGACACTTGTTGAAGACACTACTACTGACAGTCTTATCCTCACTATCCTCACTATCCTCACTATCCTCACTATTCTCACTATCCTCACTATCCTCACTATTCTCACTATCCTCACTATTTGGTCTTGATACCTTAAACTATGTTGCTCTAGTGATGACATATATCTTGCTTCAGGTGTGGTGTGACTTGGACGGCCCAGAGGAACAACCTGAAGAAGCACAGTACCTGAAGAAGGCCCCACAAAATCTGCACCTGAAGGAACCACCAAAGGAAGAAGAGAAGGAAGAGAAGAGGGAGGAAGAGAAGCCACAGCACAGGCAGAAGCTAGAGAAGAGGAAGCAGAGGAAGCAAGAACAACTGAAAAAGATGGAGAAACTGAAGGAGGAAGAGGAGAAGAAGAAGATGCTAGGGCAGGAGAAGTACCACCACCTACAGCAGGAACAGCACCACCAGGAGCAGGAACAGAACAACCAGGGGCAAGAACAGCACCACCAGGGGCAGGAACAGCACCACCAGGGGCAGGAACAGCACCATCAGGGGCAGGAACAGCACCACCAGGGGCAGAAACAGCACTACCAGGGGCAGGAACAGCACCACCAGAGGAAGGAACAGCACCACCAGGGCAGGAACAGCACCACCAGGGGCAGGAACAGCACCACCAGAGGAAGAACAGCACTACCAGGGCAGGAACAGCACCACCAGGGGAAGGAACAGCACCACCAGGGGCAGGAACAGCACCAGCAGGGCAGGGAACAGCACCACAGGGCAGGGAACAGCACTACCAGGGCAGGAACAGCACCACCAGAGGAAGGAACAGCACCACACAGGGGCAGGAACAGGGCAGGAACAGCACCACCAGGGGGAACAGCACCACAGGGCAGGAACAGGGCAGGAACAGCACCACCCAGGGGCAGGAACAGCACACCAGGGGCAGGAACAGCACCACCAGGGGAACAGACACTAGGGGCAGGAACAGCACACCAGAGGAAGGAACAGCACCACCAGGGGCAGTAACAGCACCACCAGAGGAAGGAACAGCACCACCAGGGGCAGGAACAGCACCACCAGAGGAAGGAACAGCACCACCACAGGAACAGGGGCAGGAACAGCAACACAACCACAGGGGCAGGAACAGCACCACCAGGAACAGCAGGGGCACCACAGGGGCAGGAACAGCACCACTCAGGGGCAGGAACAGCACCACCAGGGGCAGGAACAGCACCACCAGGGGCAGGAACAGCACCACAGGGACAGGAACAGCACCACCAGAGGAAGGAACAGCACCACCAAGGGCAGGAACAGCACCACCAGGGGCAGGAACAGCACCACCAGGGGCAGGAACAGCACCACCAGGGGCAGGAACAGCACCACCAGGGGCAGGAACAGCACCACCAGGGGCAGGAACAGCACCAGCAGGTAAAGGAACAGCATCAACAGGTAAAGGAACAGCATCAACAGGTAAAGGAACAGAACCAGCAGGTAAAGAAACAGAACCAGCAGGTAAAGGAACAGAACCAGGAGGTAAAGGAACAGCATCAACAGGTAAAGGAACAGCATCAACAGGTAAAGGAACGGTACCAGCAGGTAAAGGAACAGAACCAGCAGGTAAAGGAACAGAACCAGCAGGTAAAGGAACAGCAGCGGAGCACAGCAGAGTGGGGGCCACTGCTCACACACATCAGCCCTTTACAGAAGCCTCACACAGCAACGTACTAGTGTCTGCCTCTCTGACACTATCCCAGCTGGCCACTACTATCCCAGCTGGCCACTACTATCCCAGCTGGCCACTACTATCCTAGCTGGCCACTACTATCCCAGCTGGCCACTACTATCCCAGCTGGCCACTACTATCCCAGCTAGCCACTACTATCCCAGCTAGCCACTACTATCCCAGCTGGCCACTACTATCCCAGCTGGCCACCACTACAGGCCCATCAAACAATAAGGAGAGCTACCTATGATTTACTACAAGATTTCTTCAATAAAAAGCATTTATTTGTGTTCTTGACTTAAAGCGGATTCAGATTTTGGAAAACGAAACTCTTTTGCCGGATTTTGCATGTTGAGAGAGATCATACCGACATATATTAGCATACAATATGGCACAGTATATCCTCACTTAACCAATATAGCCAAACCTTTAATTATATGAACACTAGATGTGATATTACTCTAACTTAATATAACCTATGAATATATTCTTAAGAGTATTATTCCACCTTAACTATAAATATTCAACTATATACATATACAGTATACCAGTATATATAGTTATTTTATGTGTATTTATATGTATATTTGATGTGTATATATATTTCCAGTGTGTGTAGATGGTGTATTTGAAGTAACATTGTATTCTTGAAGTAATTTTAGATATATTTTGAGAGTAAAAGACGTATATATTTTTTTGAGATGAAAGTTTAGAAAATATATGGACAAATATATTCAATCACAAACTTTTAACTTAATTTATCGTAGTTTGTTCTTTCTCCTTCTTCTGTCTCCTGTTTCCCTCTTTCATATTCTTCTTGTTGCTTTTTCTCTTCTATTAATCGTTATAATTCTTGCCGACTGCCCTTCTCTACCATCATCATTGCCCCTTGCTCCTCCCTACCACCATCATTGCCCCTTGCTCCTCCCTACCACCATCCTTGCCCCTTGCTCCTCCCTACCACCATCATTGCCCCTTGCTCCTCCCTACCATCATCCTTGCCCCTTGCCCCTCCCTACCAACATCATTGCCCCTTGCCCCTCCCTTACATCTGACGTGCGTACCTGTGTAAGGAGGCTTCTACCATAGGCTGAGGTTATATAAAGAAGAGAGGCTGGCAGTACGAGCTCAGTATGACTCCAGATATGGTGAGGATGTGTCGCGTCGGCTCTCTCTCTCTTCTGGTTAGTGCTCAGTGTCTTAACTCACAGTGACGATGTGTTTACAGTTTTCCAATGGCGACGTGGATCTAGTTTTCTTTGATGCTAGTTACAATTTGCGTTTCCTAATTTCCTTAATACGAGCTGTAACGTAAAAATTATTAGTTTTTTTTTTAACTTTTCTCATTAATTCTTTTACTGTGGACATTCATTTGACAGTGACTTTATTCACGTAGATGATAGTGATAGTGTTTGGTTAGTTATCAGGTGAGGAAGCAACAGTGACAAGTTGCAGTGACGCTACAGAGGCCACTCGGGCAGTGAAGTGCGGATTTTCTGCTATCTTTTCGGGTAGCAATGAATTCTGCAGTGATTGAAAGTCAAGCAGTGATAATTAAGACTCACAGTTACAGTGACGAGATTCAGTGAAGACTATAGACTGTAAGAGCTACTGTATTTGGGCTGAGAGATTCATTCATAAATGCTAACTATTTCTTTATCTATTTCCATCTATTTTTGTATCTATCTACGTCTATTTATATCTATTTCGGTCTATTTCTGTATCTATCCGTCTATTTCTCTATCCATTCCCGTCTAGCCAATGGAGGAACACAATTTACTTTCGCATCTTTAATATTTTCGGTCAGCAAAAGTTTCCAATTGGCACTAAAACTATCAACACCACTTAGTAATAGCAGTCTTCACTTTCCTGCGGTTAGTTGCGGTCTAGGGGGGGATACTCTGCGGCTTTACTTACGAACTACAGTAATTTGCGGTTATGTTCCATTGTTACCAAGTCTTAGTGTGGGGCGACTGGGAAAGAGAGGTCGCTGGAGTGATGTTATAGTGGCGTGGAACTGATGGTAATGATCTGGTAATACTGTGTGTTTAAGTCATCTTGAAAAACCTGGTTCCTGTCTTGTTGTCATATAAAGATACAATAGGTATGGTCTGTCTCTCTCTCTCTCTCTCTCTCTCTCTCTCTCTCTCTCTCTCTCTCTCTCTCAATCATCTCTTGCGTATTCATAGAGCTGCCTGACGCAACCTTCTCAAAGTCATACAGTTTTTTTCCACAGTGTTTTGTGACCTCTTAAAGAAAACGTCAGATGCTATGAAGGTTAGGTTAGGTTTAGGTTAGGTTAGGTTAGGTTTAGGTTAGGTTAGGTTAGGTTAGAGCAGAGGAGGAAGGAGGAGTAGCGAGAGGGAGGGGGTGAAGGAGGAGGGAAGGAGGAGGAGGGGAGTAAGGAGGAGACGGAGGAGTAGGGGAGGGAGGAGGAATAGCAAGAGGAGGAGGAGGGAAAGAGAAGAGGAGGAGGGAAGTAGGAAGGGAGAAAGGAGGAAGAGGAAGAGGAGGAATAGATGGTTGACCTAATGGAGGAGGACAATTAGGTGTGTGTACTGTTGGAGGTGAAAGTTGGAAGAGAATGAAGGCAGAATATAGAGGAAGAAGGGGGAAGAGGAAGGAGGAAGAAGACTAAGGAAGAGGAGAATAAATAAACAGGAAGAAGGGGAGGAGTAGAACAGCAGGTGGTAGACAGGAGGGAGGTAGGAAGTCATTACTTATATCTACTAAGTGTAAAGAGTGAAAGTTGCACTCTACTGTCTCAGGTATTATTTACTCTCTGGCAGGAACTCTTATGAACCTCTTCCTCTTCTTCCCTCCTCTTCCCCCCTCCTCCCAATCAATCACCATTACTCAATCACGTCTGTTAGCAAATATTCAACTTTCTCACATTACCTGTTCCCCTTCTACCTGGCCCCGTTCGTCAATCACATCCGACTTACACAAAACATAAACAATGGATTCGGTATATAAGCGTTCGAAGGGAAAGTCGATTTACGCATTATAACCTTCAAACGCCTTTAATCGATTTGTGCTTTAGTTAATCGAGCATCACTATGGTCTTTCAAGGGTTAATTATGTCTGCCACCTACCTGCCAAACTTCTAGGCAATCCGTCCACTGCTTTACGAGTTATGATGTGTTTTTGTGAAAGATTGACCGCTGATGAAGAATTGGGTGATTCTCTACGTCATGTGAAGTTTGTTGGAGAGAGAGAGAGAGAGAGAGAGAGAGAGAGAGAGAGAGAGAGAGAGAGAGAGAGAGAGAGAGAGAGAGAGAGAGAGAGAGAGTACTAGTCTCTTTATGGCAGGTAACAGATGTACAGGAGAACGTAAACATATAAACATAACTTCCTCTTAGGCAGGAGAGAGAACTTTCGTCACTAATCATCGTCCCCCTGAATACTTTCCTTATCTCTACTTTCATATTTCTCCATTTCCTTCTTTCTCTATCTACCTTATTTTTTTATTATTCGTTGTTATTCCTTTTATCCATATTTTGATTTTTTTTCGTCAGTTGATTTATTTTCACCTATGTATTCATTTGTTTGTTTAGTTATCTTCTTATTACTCCTATATCCAACCAGAATTGGGGTACTACAAACCTAACCTAACCTAACCTAACCTAATCTAACTTAACCAAACCTAACGTAATCTACCTAAACTTAAGCTAACCTAACCAGATTTAACCTAAACTAGCATCACACATCTTATATAAAATTCCTGGCCCTCGCTCTTGAGTCCAGGAATGAAAATGAACCACAAATATACAAAAAGAGGTAATATATTTAAACGACACCTGTATATTTATAAGTTAATGAGCAGACAACACCTGTAGTTTCCCGGTCACTTGGGCCTCCGCCGCCACAAGTTCTGATAAGCAGATAAGGTGATAACTTACTAACTCGTTTGCGCTGTTGTTGACATAAATATTGCGGTCATAACAAGCTGGGTCTCAACTATGTAAAGATTTAATACAGACAAACAAATACATCATTATATATTAAATAAAATTACATCTAGTAACAAGTGGTAAACGATTATAACAGGAAGACATTTTTAATATCAGTTTATGCAGTAAATATTGTTTAGTTTCGTAGTCGTGAGTGTTCCTCGGGCACTTTTACCACCAAACAGATGTTACCGAGGCTACGTCAGACCACTGAATGTAAACTTATGGGTGTAATTAAGTGGTTAGTAGAGTTAGCAGCATCTGATAAACAATGAGGGGGTGGGGGGTGTTTAATGTACAGTACTCCCTATTTTATACAGGCAACCAAGACAGTTTCACTCAGTAAGGCGAGGAAGATGGTTGGTAAAGAACAGTTGAAGTTATGGAACGTCTATCTACCCCTTGATATATTTCCAGCCAAATAGATGAGACACAGGAGACCAATTTCTCTTATGCTTATACTCGCTCCAAAGAGTTTTATACAATATGACACAACGGACGAAGTATTTTGACAACCCTACCGAGACAACAGGAGTCACAGTGTTCATTTTGGAATTTATCCGTCCCCTCCGCAAAGATCTGGAGCGAGTATCCTAACTTAAAATTTACTCTTTAGGTATGACATATCGACCTTTACTTCCTTAAATACGTAAATAACTCGATATTCATCACCTATGTACCAAATATTCGACCTGTGTATGAAAGTAAGATAATTACTCAACATTAAAAGCCTTTTCATACCAAATATTCGACCCTTTCAAAAATACAATACTAGTTCGACATTTTGCCGCTAAGAGAAACACACATACTCGACCTGTATATGAAAGAAGTGTGATAATTAATCGACCTTCTGATACATAATATTCGACTCCTAAACTAATCTCTTGGTCCTCAGGTGTGTGTGGCAGTGGTGGTTAGTGGTGAGGAATTATCGTCTTTGGGAGGCGATTCACACAACGACGAGACGACTGCCCACGGCAACGTCAGCAAGATAGATCGTGTGAGTCCTCCTCCACCACGACAACTGGGAAAAGACGAGCCTCGGAATGACTTATATACAGACAGTAAACGACAATAACTTGGAAGCGACGACGAAAGAGTGGAGATGAAACAGACGACAATAATGCAAACACAGCGACGACATTACAAACACGACAATAACAATAAAAAAGTAAATACAGAAAATGACAATAAACACAGACACGACGAAAACTTTAAAACAAAGAAAGAGAGAACGAAATAAATGTACTGGGAAGGTTATCTACTCCTTAAACACGACAGGGTAGAATAACGACTAGCACCAGAACGACTAGCCACCAGAACGACTACCCAACCAACAGCACAACTAGCCACCAGAACGACTACCCTACAAGCACGACCAACAGAACGACGACCACCTCACCAGCACGACCACAGGGAATAAAAAAAATGCAAATATATTAATAAATGAAAAATAGAGGAATAATAGACTAAATTAGTAATAGCAATAATAGCAATAAAATGATAATAGGAATAAATTATAATAAAAATGTAAAGAATAAATAGACAGGAATAGAAAGACAATAAATAGGAATAGAATAATATTAGACACCAATAGATCAGTAATAGACAGAAATAGACTAATTATAGGTACTAGTAGAATAATTGAAGATAGGAAGAGTATGATAGGTGATAAATAAAATAATAATAGCAAAAATAGAATAATACTTGAGTGTAATAGAATGATGATAGATTTGGAATATGGTGATATGAATATTAGGAAAGTTAATGTCACTCTCATCTACTCTGGGGTTAGGGGCTTTAATTAGTTGGTGAAGTAAGCTGGGGTGCTTAATCTTCACGTGATCCTTATTTCCTATCTTACCTATTTCTATTCTTGATAACAGATATCTACTTCAGGTATGTGTATCTAAATTCCCTTCATTATTTTACTGTCCTTATCAATGTATATATCCCACAGGCACGAGAGAGATAGTGCAGTTATGTCTATGTTATTCACTTTCACTCTGTACATTTATACATTTCCTTCAAGAGTATAATCTATAGTTGACGTCTCCAGGGTCCAGCGCGCTTCAACTTCTCCCATGAGGTGAAGCAGCCCATGTACGGTAACTTCTACGGCCATGCATCCCAACGTGACGGAGATCGTATCGACGGTAGCTACTACGTCCTCCTCCCCGACCGTCGCCTTATGACCGTAAACTACTATGCTGACACCTCCGGCTACCATCCTACGGTATCCTACAGTCCCATCCAGGCAACGGGGATGTTCCAGAACTTCCTCTTCGGCGCCGAGGCCAAGTCAGGATGGGGAATGAAGGTGTCTTCTGGGGCCGCCTCCTCCTCAACCCCGTCACCACTTCTTACAGCATTCGGTACACAGAGACCCGCCAACACTCTCTCTGGCGCCTCATCACTGGTTACTAGGACGGTCGTGCCAGCCAATAGCGTTACTCCAAGACCCCAAGGTGCAGCGGTGCCGACCAATCGCGTTACTCCAAGACCCCAAGGTGCAGCGGTGCCGACCAATCGCGTTACTCCAAGACCCCAAGGTGCAGCGGTGCCGACCAATCGCGTTACTCCAAGACCCCAAGGTGCAGCGGTGCCGACCAATCGCGTTACTCCAAGACCCCAAGGTGCAGCGGTGCCGACCAATCGCGTTACTCCAAGACCCACGACTGCGAGGACTAACACAGGCTATATATACACAGCTCCCACGACCAGACGACCTGTAGTCACGACAACACGTCCTCCAACAACAACAACTCGTCCTCGACCGACAACAACACGTCCTCGACCGACAACAACACGTCCTCGACCGACAACAACACGTCCTCGACCGACAACAACACGTCCTCCACAACAACAACTCGTCCTCGACCAACAACAACTCGTCCTCGACCGACAACAACACGTCCTCGACCGACAACAACACGTCCTCGACCGACAACAACACGCCCTCGACCAACAACAACACGTCCTCGACCAACAACAACACGTCCTCGACCAACAACAACACGTCCTCAAACAACAACTCGTCCTCGACCAACAACAACAACGTCCTCGACCAACAACAACACGTCCTCGACCGACAACAACTCGTCCTCGACCAACAACAACTCGTCCTCAAACAACAACTCGTCCTCGACCAACAACAACAACAACTCGTCCTCGACCAACAACAACAACAACACGTCCTCGACCAACAACAACTCGTCCTCAAACAACAACAACAACAACTCGTCCTCGACCAACAACAACAACTCGTCCTCGACCAACAACAACTCGTCCTCAAACAACAACAACTCCTCGACCGACAACTCTTCGTCCTCCTTCAGGTGGTTACTTACCGCCATCGCGAGGGTCCACAGCTGCCACGCCCACCAACACTCAGGCCTCCTCCCCACACCCGACCTTCTTCCCGAGCTTCTTCCCGTTACCCAGAGGCGCCATCCCTATCGCCTTCCCTGGCAGCGACGGACACAACGGAGGGAGTGGTTTTCTCCCTCCTCCAGTTATTGGCGTAAACACTTTCGGCAGGAGACTCAACAGTAACGCGTTCGGTAGGAGAATTAACACTAACGGTAAGACAGACAACAGTAACAACGGAAACAAGGCTACTACCAACAGAAGCACCGACGACTTTGGCAGAAAAATCAACAGTGGTAAATTTGGAGGTTCGGGATCAGGAACGAAGAACGAGATAAACACAGTAACTAATGATAAATCTAATAACGGGAACAACAATAATAACAACGGAAGAAACAACAACAACAAAGGCTATAATAGAAACAACGATAACGTCAACACAAACAGAGAAAACAGTAACACCGCCTCGAGAAACAACGGCAAAGCTATCAACGGAAATAACGACAATAACGGTAATAACGGTCAGCGGGGAGATAGGAAGAATTACGCTTCATCTCAGTCAATAGGAAATCAGGTCAACGGGGAAGACCTATCAGAAAAGGATGTCCTATTTAATAATGGCTTCTCCTTCTTTGAGTTTAAGAGACTAACCACGACACCCAGGCCTACAACCACGACGACGACAACTAGCAGCACGGGATCCACCGCTACCACAACACCTTCACCCTTCTTCAGACTCACTACGACTACGCGGGTCCCCATCAGTAGCACAACAGAACACGAGTACGACAGAGAGGCGGGTCCTGCTTATATCCCAGTACCTGGTCTTACGGCTCTTGTAGCGGACGCCCCAGTGCCGCCCCAGGGTCGTTCAGTAGAGGCAGCATCAACACGACCTTCCACACTGGGAACGACGACCCCTCGACGACCTGCCACTCCTACAGTTCCAATCACAACTCTAAGACCATCGTCAGTACCTATCATCACTACAGAGCTCTCACCGTTCTTCAAATTCTTCGGGAGAAAGATTTGATCGTGTCGTGTGAGTGAGACTAAACCAATGTTACCGTGTGTGTCTGCTGATGTCTGTACTAGTCCTGACAGAGCTGACTGTGCCATATCTAGGCCACGTTGTTGTACATTAATAGTTAATTAGAAAATAAACCAATAAATTACTTCCCGCCATCAACGAAAAGAAAACTTCCAAACAATGATCGACTTTTCATTGTACGTGGGTTTAAATCATTATATTCTGTGACTTTTGTATTTCTAGTTCATCTCTGTAATATATTTTTGTAAAGTTCTAAGATTTGTAAATAATAGAGTTTGACATATCTAAATACAGATTTTTATAGACTGTTTTAAAATCGTTCAATTCTCTCCTACGTTGATCACTGGGTTGAGTTTCCCGCCACAATCTGTTTTTCCTATAGAAATTAACTCACAATTCCTTTGGTCGTGGTGCACATACGTCAACAGGTCTCCCCCCCCCTCCCTCCACCCTCCCTCAGTCTGGTGATACAGTGGTATTAGGGCAGGAATAGTCACACACACACACACACACACACACACACACACACACACACACACACACACACACACCTCATACATCGACTCCTTGAGGGATTACCGCCAAAACGCTCCACTTTCTCCAGCTGAAGGGGAGGACCAGCTGTTGTGTACTGTACATACACCAGCTGTTCCCCTCAGCGGAGTGAACGGCGCGTGACGCAATTGTCAGCCAGTGTTTATTGTTGACTACGCCGCACGGGCTTGCTCTTCCTGATACCATTACTTCTTACTCATAAAAAATTACATTAACCTGTAGTGACTCGTTCCCGGCAAAACACTACGTTAAAGAGGTAAATTATAGCTCATAATGCTGATAGCTCCAATGTTTACTGAGGGACAACTAAAGAGAGAGAGAGAGAGAGAGAGAGAGAGAGATTATTTATATTTTACGGATGTTGTTATTGTTTTTGTTGTTTGTTTTGTATATTGTTATTATTGTTTGTTTTTGTTGTTGTTCTCTCGGATAGGGATCCTCAGATGCTCCGAGTACTTTGCCTTAGAGATAAGAGATAACAGTTAACTGGCTCACTTATAAGTCCCTTGATGTTTGTCTTTACAGAATCAATGAACACTGTAAACACAAACATCAAGGGACTTTATAAACACCAAGGGACTTTATAAACACAACACCAAGATAGATAGATAGATAGATAGATAGATAGATAGATAAATCACCCTACAGACAGAGCTTGTGTACAAACAATGGTAAACAGTAAGACGATTCACCAAGGATAATCAACAAAACCATCTGATGTTTATATCCAGTCTTTTAATTAGGGTAATCGCTTATATTACATCTACGTAAATAAACGTGATAATATGTGACTAAATATAATAAACATTGCACTACACACAACAACCTAAGGTAATATATAATAATTTTATAACATTTAATTTCGATTTTCAAAAGGCTTTCATTCAAATGCTAACTTTATCCTGTGTGGTAGAATTATGTTAAACAAGACCACTATAATAACTCTTGATTAACTTCCTGGTATTATGATTCTAAACACATTTATATGTTTCTTTTTGTCTCATGCATGGAGTTTAATGTGGGTTATATAAAGTAAAGTATAGCAGATCCTCGTCAATATTATTTAAGTTATGGGTTAAAATCTTCTTTATTAATGCTTTAAAAGAAAATAGAATGTTTTATGGGGTAACTATTGTAATATACCTCAATTTTACTCGTATTTTTTTTATAAGTGGCGTGGATTGTACGTTATGAACACCATGTACAGTACATAAGATGGACAGTGTATATTAATGATATATATTGTAATACATAATTAAACAAAATAAATGTACAATTGAAAGATATTCAATGAGATATGTAGTGATTTGTTTTAATAAGGTGGTTGGACGTCATTTTTTTTTTCATATTTACTTATTTTTCTTCTTAAATCTCTCCATAGTTAGTTCAGTCAATATACCTCCATAGTTGAGGTCTACAATGCAGTTGTTAGTTAGCCATGACAGTGGGATAAACAGCCTCGTCGGCAAATTATAGCCAAAGATATGTTATTCATTGTCAAAATTCATAAGTGTTTGCTATCACTAACAAATACATTTATACACAAGTCTTTCATACACAAAAATACTTTACTCTTGTATTTAACGACTTGAAAGGAAATATTACAATGGTTCTTCAAGATTGTCTGGGACATTTACTTGACGAACAGGTTATCTTGAAATCGTCGTCTTGCAAAATTTGTTTAGTGAAATAAACTCTCTCACGGCCTAAAATACAATGGCTGAATTTATTTATTTATTTATTTGTTTTAACTACAGCGGTATGAACAAATACTACTACTACTACTACTACTACTACTACTACTAATTGACAAGAGGAATAAAATGGTTGAATGTTAAGACCTTTGTGGATTAAGTTAAAACAAGATGAAGTAAGGCAGATAAAGTAGATACGATAGAAAATAAGATAGTAACATAGTAAGACAATAAGATAGTAAGAAAGATAGTGAGATAGTAAGAAAGATAGTAAGATAACAAGGGAGTAAGATAGTAAGTAAGATAGTGAGATAGTAAAATAGTAAGATAGTAAGTAAGATAGATAGATAGTAAGTAAGATAGTAAGTAAGATAGTAAGATAGCTAGTAAGTAAGATAGTAAGATAGATAGTAAGATAGATAGTAAGATAGGTAGTAAGTAAGATAGTAAGATGGTTCAGGTAAGAAAATTATGCGAGGCAACAATCAGAAAGTTTTGATCATGGCGGAACTTGGGAGAGACCCGCCCCTCTCCCCCTCGCATATTAAGTCTCTCTGTTTCATTCTTTACTTATACTTAAATCTCTACTTTACACACACACACACATACACACACACACACACACACACACACACTCAACAACACCTACATCTACCCAGCCAGCCACCCACACCCCTCTCACCCACCCATCTACCCACATCCACCTATCCACTCACTACACCATCCCCAGTTTTATGGCCGTCAAGGATTAGCGACTCTCCTATGAACGGCTTATCCGATCATCTACAAACTTTAAGACTACGAGTTTTTTTTAGGAGGACCTGCCCAGGGCCTTCTATTGAGAGAGAGAGAGAGAGAGAGAGATTATTATAGGGTCTGTGGCGTGAAAATGACTCCAGGGTAGTTAGATGCTTGTTAGGCAGTAGTTAGGTGTAGTTAGGAAGCTGGTAGTTAAAGATAGTTGAAGAAGGGATCATTTTAATGTTCTTGACCTTTTTGATCCTTCAAGTTTCGACCTTATATAGCCACACTAACTATGTAACTTTGTCTCCCTGTGTCCCTCTCTCCCTCCTTCCCTGTGTCCCTCTCTCTCTCCTTCCCTGTGTCCCTCTCTCCCTCCTTCCCTCTCTCCCTCCTTCCCTTTCTCCCTCTCTCCCTCCTTCCCTGTGTCCCTCTCTCCCTCCTTCCCTTTCTCCCTCTCTCCCTCCCCTCTCTCCCTCCTTCCCTGTGTCCTCTCCTCCTTCCCTCTCTCTCCCTCCTTCCCTTTCTCCCTCCCTCCTTCCTTTCTCTCCCTCCCTCTCTCCTCCCCATTTCTCCCTCTCCCTCCCTCCCTCCTCCTTCCTTTCTCTCTCTCCCTCCGTCCCTGTGTCCATCTTCCCTCCTTCCCTTTCTCCCTCTCTCCCTCCTTCCCTGTGTCCCTCTCTCCTCCTTCCTTTCTCCCTCTCTCCCTCCCTCCTCCCTCCTGTGTCCCTCTCTCCTCCTTCCCCTCTCTCCCTCCCTCCCTTTCCCCTCTCCCTCCTTCCCTCTCCCTCTCTCCCTCCCCTCTCTCCCTCCTTCCATTTCTCCTCTCCTCCTTCCCCCTCTCTCCCTCTCCCTCCTTCTCTCCCTCCCTCTCTCCCCTCCTTCCCTGTGTCCCTCCTCCCTCCTTCCCTGTCCCTCCTCCCTCCTTCCCTCTCTCCTCCCTCCCCTCTCTCCCTCCTTCTTTCTCCCTCCTCCCTCCCCCTTTCTCCCTCTCCCTCCTTCCCTGTGTCCCTCTCCCTCCTTCCCAGTCCCTCTCCTCCTTCCCTGTGTCCCTCTCTCCTCCTTCCTTGTCCCTCTCTCCTCCTTCCTCTCTTCCCACCTTCCCTCTCCTGCCTCGTCACCTTCCTCCCACCTGCCAAACTCACCATCTCTTGTTGATTGCTGTAGAGCCACGCAGCCGTCACCATGGTAACGTGGTGGTGGGTGTGGTGGTGAGTGTGGTGCTGGGTGTGGTGGTGGGTGAGTGTGGTGCTGGGTGTGGTGGTGAGTGTGGTGCTGGGTGTGGTGGTGAGTGTGGTGCTGGGTGTGGTGGTGAGTGTGGTGCTGGGTTTGGTGGTGAGTGTGGTGATGGGTGTGGTGGTGGGTGTTATGGTGCTAGGTGTGATGGTGAGTGAAGTTCTAGGTGTTATGGTACTAGGTGTAATGGTGTGTATGGTGCTAAGTGTGGTGCTTCATAACAATCAACTCCCTACGTGGTGTCTAGACGTTTAGGGTTTCAATCAACATTACCAACGCTATTAGTTTATATTTCCGGGTATTGTAGCCTATATAGTGTGTTATATAGTGTGTTATATAGTGTGTTATATAGTGTGTTATATAGCCCATGTGTACAGTATATATGGTATAGCCAAGTCCGGTAATGGCTCACGCTAATTTAAGGTATTTCCCCACAAGAATGATTCACTTAGGCCAAATAACTTACGTGATCTAATTTATTCTTACAATATTATCAAACCTAACCTAACCTAACCTAACCTAATCTTGTTTAATCTATCTTTAGTTTAGTTTGGTTAGGTTAGGTTAGGTTATGTACAGAGTGAACCAATTCTTTTGCGAAGTGGATAAAGTTTTCAGTAATTTCGTTATATAACTGAGGACACGACTGGACTAACATACACACAGACACACATGCGTTAATGCGTAATAGTAGTGATAGTTGCAATAGCAGTAACACCAGTAATAATGATAATAGTAATAATAATAACAACGACA